TGAATGGGCCACCTTTGATGAGAAAGAAGACTGGAAGGAAGGCTGGAAAAAAATGTTAAACAGTAAAAAAGATCAAAAAAAGAAAGAAAAGAAAAGATGTGAAAACGTAGCATTAAATGTTGTTTGAAAACAAAGAGAGAATGGCATAAAAGATGATAGTAGTTATTGAAAATAAAGAGATAATTTAAGGGTAAGAGCTTGGCAACTTGCATCATGAAAAAATTAGACCCCAAAAGAAAAACAAAATGATTAATGGCAAGGCAAAGAGATAAAAAAAAAAAAAAATTGAACAACCAGCAACAAGCAAAAATGATAACAAAGGATCCAAAGGCTAAAAGGAAAGGAGAAGAGACGCACAGTGAAGTTGTGTTTGTGTACACGGTAAACTTAGGTGTAAATAAACAGTAAATGAATAGTTAACATGTTAGATTTTTTAATTTTTTTTGTTAATAAATGAATAGTTAATATCCCATATTTTTTAGTTTTTCATGTTAATGTTAATGATCTCTCCATGGTGTTGTTGAGCATGGTACCCTTTTTGTGTTGTTAAGTTGTTGTAGGGTTTTTGTTGAATTCCATGATTTATCCCACTAGATGTGCCAATTATATGTTAACAACATAAATTTCTTCGTAATTTTGAGCAGGGTGTTCATTCGGTTATTCGATTCGATTTCAAAATATTTTGGATAGTTTTCGGTTAATTGAATTTGAAAAAAAAAACGAACCAAAATATTATTCGATTTTTTTCGGTTTAAAAATATTTCGGTTTCGGTGTTCGATAATTCGATTTTTATCTTTTTTTTTCTTTTCTACAAATGGCCGATTCTATTAAAGTTTCGAAATCTCTATTTAGAATGAGTTTCTTTTTGCTTTGTGGATTACTAGCTAGAAAATTAAGTTGCGTAAAAAAAAAATAAATATATTGGTAGATAAACAAATAATAAATTATCTAATTAAGAAAGCTTGAATTGGGGATGATAGAAAATCTACTAACATTTTTGCTATTTTATGTACATCCGGACTTATAACGAAGACAAAGAGAACACGTATAAAACTGTAAGAGGAAGTGCATCTAAAGGAGAAAGATTTTTTAATCGCGGGTGCAAGTGAGTGATCCGACTATATATATATATATATATATATATATGTTACTTAAATTTTTTTTGTTTGTTTTTTTTAAAAAAAAGCACCGAAATTGATATTTTAGTGCCATTCGATTATTCGGTTTTCACTCGAATAGTAAATACCTTTACTTTTGAAGATTTAAAATAAGTTTTTAATACTTAAAATTCAATCCATAATGAGACGACAACTATCTCAAAATCAAACAAATTGCAAATTCTTTTAGAAATCTAGACACAAAAAATCTACTTAAGTAAAGATTAATGATGTCATCCTAGATAAATAAAAGTTGTTCAAATAAAACGTAAGACTTACATTGATCATAAAAACCATTGATATCTATATTAAACAATTAAGTACTTTGAATTGAATTCCCGTAATAATTTAAACGTATAATAGAATATGTGGATGAGGCAAGACTGTCAATTGCGTCAGTAAAGATCGGGAATGTTTCTTCATGCATCGAATAAATCATCTGCAATCGATGTCATGTTTATTACTTTGGTTAAAATCTTTCTAGCAAGGAATCAAAACTAACATTAGACTAAGACAAAAATTCTCATATAGAAAAATAAAAATAAGGATCCAATTTTAAATTTTATGAGCTTTCATGTAATTATATTATGTTTGTATTTTGATGTATTGATCTTTAATGTTTTTAAGCATTTTTTAATTTTTTTTAAATAGTCAAAAGAAGTGTCAATAAGGTATTAAATGGGTTAGGAATAATTTAAGAAGTTTATTTTAAATTTTTTAGGGTTCTATATGGTGTATAAATAGAAAAATAAAGGGAAAATAGGATTAAATTTATGTTTAGATAGTACCGATGGACATCTAACTCAATTGATAGTGGCCTCTTAATTTCAATTGCTAACAACGTTAAAAACACTATTTATTTACATTCCATGCAAGAGGAAGCCAAAACTAGCCCCTCGTCCTTGTTGTGTGTTGTGATCAGATTAATCCCCTTGGCTTCCCCTCCCCTCCATTGATCATATCTATGTAAAAAAAAAAAAAATGTTTAGGAATTGATAAATTTTTTTAAAGAATTTCATTAATATTACTTTTTTTCCCCTTAATTAGAGCTGGTGGAGTCGAATTTACATTATATTTTATAATATTTATATTTTATTAATTAAAGGTATGATAGAAGCATTGAAGGTCGTAAGTATAGATAGTGATAAGAAAAATATTTTTGACTTATTAAGAAATTACATATGGAAATTTAACTAAAATTATAAAGAAAAATTTTCTAAAATTATAAAGAAAATTTTTCACCATATAATTTGAATTTAATTTATTTTATATAAGTTTTTTTTTCATAAATTAAAAAAAAAGAAAAAAGAAAACTCAATCCCTTTTTCCAATTAGAGGGGAAGAAGATGTTTAGCTTATCCAATAATTTTTATTAAATTTCCGTAGTACTTATTTAGTTTAATTAAAAAAATTTTTTATTAATTATAGAAGAAAAATACAAATACCTTACCCTATATTTTTAATTTAATGTTTTTATTTTTTCTATTATAGATTAGAAAAAAACTACTTTTTTTCTATACTTTAATTTAATCTAATTTCTTTAATATTCAACTTTTCGTTTTTTTTTTTAAAAAAAAAGATTTTTGATTGCAACATGTAATTTTTTTATAACTCAGTACATAGATCATTAAACATGGCACCCAATGCATGAGCGTAGAATTCATTAAAAACAAATAGAAGAGTAAAATTTATAAATATTAAATGTACAAGGATAAAAGGTGTTTTTATCTCATATTTAATTGAGATTAAAAAAAAAAGTTTGATGGTTTTTTAAACCAGGTTTCAATTGAGATAAAGAAGTTTGATGGGTTTTTTAAAACTAGGGTTTATTTTGCACTAGAAATTGGAATTGCATAATGCGCAAAGATTTTTCCAGCAAAAGATTTGATAGTTTCAGTTTGTTGTAAATCAAAATTGAGCAAGCTATTATTTAATCTCAACTCTATTCAAACGATTAACTTATGATTTTAAAAACCAAAAGAACTAACTTATGAAATCATTAAAAAAAAACACTTAAGGATTTAATTATTACTTGCACCTCAATTTATTCAGTCATGTTATTCTAATGATGGTTAAAAAAAATAAAAATAAAAAATAAGTCGAGGTACATTTCATTACAGAATCTTAGTTTCCCCTTTTATAGCACGAGTAAATTCATAAATTAATCTCTTTAGTTTTAAAACTAATTAATTAGTCCCTACAGTTCAAAGTTTATTTGTCAATTAAAGCTTTTTTTTTTTTTATAATCCTTTTCACTTTTTTTTTTTTAAAAAAAGAAATAGAAAAAAAAAGAAAGAAATTAATGGAAAAAAAGGGACATTTTTCAGAAAAAAATAATACCAAATTAACCATGATTAAAAACCAATATTTATTTATTATATAATTATGATGTAGCTCTAGATAATTGAATTTTAAAGTATTTTGCACGTTAGACTTACGACTATCAAATAACACCCACGACGATACCACATTCTCTTCCGTGACCAAAACCTTGATTAAAAACTATATCTAATCCAACTAAAAGAAAAGGAGACACTGTATTTAAAGAACAATTTTTTGTCTTCCAATTATTTATTTATTTATTGAGATATGGGGTCCAAATACCTTAAAATTCTGCGCTTATGATAGTTATTCAAGAAGGCAATTTAAAGTAAAAGATGAATTTTTTTTTTTTTTCTACAAATGTAGAACACTTTAATTTTATGAAATACTACAAGGACAAAGCCCCTTCGACATTGTATAGCTTGCTCTACTTCTCTCTGCAGGCATATCATAAATAGCACAAGTTGAGAAATGCTGATCTACAGACCGAGCAACCAAAATCACCGCATCCAGCTCTCACAAAGGCCTCCTGTAATTTATACGATTACGAGCAGTACATTAAGGAAAATAATAAGAACAAAGAATTATGACATTTACATAAATGCCAAAACTTGTCTGAGAGAGCTTTACAATCATGTATGCTAACTATATATAACTGACGATTGACGAGAAGATCATAATTTACCAACCCGCCTCCTGACTGCCATTTTTCAACGTTCTCTACTTGTACATTAAAGGTCCAGATCTTGACACTGCAAACCGGGGAGTGGACTAGGACCTGTGCTCCCTGAAGTTGAGCCTTCGACAAATTTAACTTTTCTGCTTGAACTATAATCCAAAGGCCCAGAGCGGCGAACATTTCGATGTTTATTGTCCGTGCTGTATATGCTTCCACTATCCATATCATAAAGGCGGTCCTGGCTATGTGATGATGACCCCTTAAAATAACCTGAATCGTTAACACTATGCTGTGGTGTTGAGTCTCCACGAGGATGCTTCACTGCAGGAGATGCGTGAGATAGCGATACAGCAGGTGAGTGGCGTGGTGAGACACTTAGTAGTGCCAGAGGCATGGATGGAGAATTTGAGTAGTATTGGCTATAAATTGAACGGAGAATTGCATAAGGAACATAGGTTTCGAGGGAGCTTCTTGGAAGGTACGTCGAGATCTCACAAAGTTGGTCCAAGAAAATCAGCTTCGCTACAAGATGAGATCTGCACAGAAAGGGGAATTGAGATTGAGAGACATGAAATGATGAGAAAGAAAACAAAGAGGTCAAAAAATAATCATATATACTATTCAGATCAACATCCCTTTCCCTTGCTGAAAGAATTATTGATTGAGCTATCACTGAGATTTTAACTTTATCATGTTTTTAAAAGATGCTTGTGGTTTTGTTGACCTGGTCTTTAAATAAATACCACGAGAATTTACACAAACAGAAATTGATGAATGAATGTAACTTGTAGTGTATGCATGAATGTGTATCTATGTGAGGGGCATGACAGGCATTGCATATTTACCTATTAGCTTCACTCCAAGAATCTAGCACGATACCAGTTGCAAATTTGACAAAAAGCTGCATTGAAGACTTTATACTTGCTTCAGCAGACAAACGGCTATGTATTTCAGGATCCAAAGCCTCACCAAGATGGCCATTAGAGAGGGACTGTCTTTGCTGATGTTCACGTTCCAATCTCACTAACTCACTACCTGTAATCACAGCACTCATACACCTGCCAAGAATATTCAATTGTGGGGGAAAAATAATTAATAATGGATTATTGAAACCATTCCATTTACTAATGGTTCAAAACTGGCAAATGCAAGACCCTACTAAATTAAAAGTGAATCCAATTGCTCATCAGCGAGACAGAAAGAAGCTAATAGGTGATTACGTGTTGACAAATGTTCAAACTGCAAACCAAATGAATGTGCATAGCAAATATTATACCAAGATTAGTAGCAGATGAAGTAGACCATTGGTTCAGTTTCAGAATTTAAATATAAAATAGTTAAATGGTAGATGGCCAGTCACCCAGTCATTGAACTTTCGAGGAGTATATCCAGTTTACTCAACAATTTAACATGGTTGGGACAAGAAAAACCAACCTTGCCAGACAATGGATGTTGTTGTTGAAGCCTCCTGTGTCAACGTTGAAGCCAGTAGTATGCCATATATTTGAGGTCATGAAGGTGGCAAATAAATAAGGCAACAATGTCCAAGAACCATCATTTGCTCCACCAACATCTTCCAAAATTGATCTGATCCATTCAGAATCATGATCTCCAACTATATTAACATTGTTTGCCACCCCTCTTATTCTTCTGATTTCCTTCTTTTCAGGTATTTCTTCAGGTATATGCTTAACCACCCCAGAAATTAGTGAATATATCAAGGGTGCACCCTCGTCAAGCACAACCCCAGCAGCTTCAGCAAGAAGCTGATCAAAAGCAAGTGCTTGTCCTCCCTCAATGCAAAATCCAATTACAGTGTCCAAGTCCACAATCTGCCTCGAACATGCCTCTCTTTCTATTCTGTCACCAGAATGCATGCTTCCAGCAACTGCCTCTAACACTTCACGGTTTGACCGCAATGATGTGTCAATGCAATTCAAGAGTGCTGCTGTGTGCTCTTTCATCATTCTGTCGAGCCTGTCAACTCCATAGCCACCGAATACACGAACAAAAGCCTGTAATTCTGTGAGACCAGTGACCGACTCTGCAAAATATCCACCAACAGGCCTTGTGCTTTTAAAGCATTTGTGTATTGGTGTGAACAGAATTCCAGCACCTGATACATCCTTGACAATGTTTTCTATGTACCAGTTGCAGACAACTTCAGTGGCTGACCCAGTAAACTGCTCTGCTGGTTTTTCAAACAAGTGAAGAGAAGACACAGGTCCTGAGAAAGCCTCAGTTAGTAGAACTTCTCGAATACCATGAGTAAGGTCCATGCTGATGTGTTGCTCTGCTAGATGCACAATACTCATGTGCCGACGAATTAAGGACTCTAGGACAGAAGGCCGTTGAAGATCATTGTCAGTTTTCAATACCGCAAGCAATCTCCTTCTGAAGTTGCCAAGTATTCCCTCTCTCATGTACTGCACAGAAGAATGCAATGTTACAGCAGAATCCCAACAATTTGTTGTTGTCTGAGTTGACACACACACTAGGACCATGCTATTCCACAGCATATGGATTAAAAAGAAGTAAAACACACCCCTGCTTGTTCAACATAACTCAAACAAAGCATTATATTTCTTAGAGAGTTCTCCCAAAACTTAATAGTTTTATATGCCCCGATACATCCCTTCCCAATTTAGTCAATTTACTGAGTTAAAACTAAGAACAAATCAAACCCCACAAAGAGTGGATGAGAAGAAAGAGGGGGCACAGGTCCAATAACCTAGACGTAATGTCATATTTAAGAAGAGACCGCAAGGAGTCAAATAAACAAATAGAAATAGCAAACTTACAGTGCTTTAGTGAACTATAAAACACCAATATCACATTCTGCTACATATACCCAACCAGAAAAAAAATAAATAAATAAAATAAAATAAAACATAAACTCAGAATGCCTCACCTCCCTCAGAACGAAGACATGGTTTAGAACACATATGGGCTCCATATCATTCAGAACTGAACACAAGTTGGTCAACCTTTGCATCGCAGCTTCCAACCTGCCATCAACACCAACTCAAGAATCAACATGTTTTATCATTCAGGTTATCCAAGAAAAACAGCACAGATTAAAATGGCTTACATTTTTATAGCACTATTGTTTTCAGGAAAGCTCTCATGACCAGGCAAAGGAAAACCAGCCGCTCCCTTGGGAGATTTTGATGTAGGAATTAGAACTCTGGATGTGTTATTCAAATAAAAAGCTGCTTGCTCTGGAAGAAGCTGAAATTTCCGAAAACATTAGCTTGCTAACCATAGGTAGACTCAAATATTTCCTTATCTGCTGCAGTACATCACAAGTTTAAAGTAACAACCTGAGTCTCTAAGGCACCAAATCCTCCTTCGGAGTCAAGAATATTGATCAATCCCTCCAATCCTCCCATGATGGATTCAATAAGAGACTCAACATATAGGACTGCATCTCGCCCAATTTTAGTCACCTGTTTACAGTAAAGCATGAAGTAAATTTCATGACATGTCCATTTTCTGATGAGAGAATGCATAGCATGCATGATGGAGAGCAGGGTTGGGCAAAAGCGGTAGTTGGAGTAACCCTCTTTGCAAATCATTCAATCGTACCCTTAATAAGTATGGCTCAATGCTATGTGCTGGGTATTAAATAAAATAAAATTCAAGTTGTTCCCATTTCAATTTCTCTTAGCAAAAATTATCACTTATAGCCCTTCTCTCCAGCCAAAATAGTAAGTTAATGGATCACCTCTTCAGGAACAATTGGAGAAGCACACTCTGGAAAGCTACTAGCAACCCCAAGCCACGCACAGCAATGCTGAGGACGTCCTTCTGGTCCAAACATGGTGTTTCGAAAAACCTACCATGGAAAAAGATGCATGGTTAGTTATAAAAGAGAGAACATAAGAAGAAAGAGAGAGCCAAGCAAAATAATGGTGGAATTGAAAAGCAACCAAGGGTGCCGCCTACAAAGTCCTATATCATATCTTTGGAGAGCCTACCCAGTGCAGCAATCCCCAATTGAGTATTTTAATTATAAACTAAAATAAGAAGGCAGGAGCTCACTGCTGTAAGGTGCTGGTGGTAGAAATACAGCTTTTTTAGACTTCCATGCTTTGATAATTGGGACTCTAGTTCATCAACACATCTGCAATTGAAAGAGATTCATATATGTTATTCTGTTTATTTCAACAATACTCCATATGGACATATAATTTGGATTTTCTATATGAACAAGGTGACCACCTAAATACACGATAGATAGAGAGAATGAAGCTTAGATGCTGTTTGGAGAGAAGAAAGAACCTATGCCTGTAGGCTTCACAAGAACCTCAGAATTATGATTTCACCATATTATTTTCACATTTTTCTGAGCAACTGTCCTAACAATTGGTCTAGCAGATGGTTCAAAGTTTCCAAGGAAAACCAGACAACGTTAAGTGGTATAATGTGCCAAGCTCCTGTACCCTGGTAGAACAAATACCATCTAGCCCAAAGTTTAAGCTACTTGGTGCAAAGGCCACTGCATAAAGCCACCCCAAACACAAACACAATCAAAGAGGATTTCTATGCTACCACAACAAACTTCACTCTCGCAAACTGCTGCATCTGTGAGTCATGGAGCACTTTGCTGGCAAAATGTTGTGGTATGGATTGCTAATGAGACTAATTGTTGTTTAGTTTAAGCTTTTCGAAACATTGCTCATGGGCATGTCAGTAATCATCCAAATTACATGACACTTTTTCCAAGTAATTTCAATAAAATAAACAATAAGCCCTTCATCTCGACTTTCTGGGCAATTAGTTTGATTCTGAGTGACATCAATTCACCACCAAATAATTCAGTCAATTTTTAACACTTATTCAGATATAATTTTGATAATTCTAGTTTCTACGGTGTTAGATAATTGTATCACTCAAAACGATCTCAAATTAGTTGGGTTAGACCATGAGGATCAGCTTCCTGAAGTTAGTCCAGTCATAAGCTAACCTTTCTACAACCCAAAAGTAGCACCATTCGTAATGCCAAAACAAGAGTCGGAGAATACCTGGACCAATTGTATGCAGCATTTCCTTCTGACAGTAAGCCTTCCTTGCCAGTAGAGACAGTAGCTTTCTCCAAGTGTCTTATGTTTATAGATGACCTAGCAGATGTGGCAATCATCAATATTGACAACCAATCCTTACGAAACTCCTGCTTAAAAAAGACATACCATGATATGGTTATTGATTCCATTATGAAGAAACCAATTCTGCAAAGAGAATGAAACAAATGGCAACAACAAACAAATTGTTCAAGGAATTAACAGAACCCACGATAAGTAGGAAACATGCTTAAAAACTAAGCATAAATGTACTACCACTGACTTCACCATGGTTTCTTTCAAGTCAGAATTAAGAGGACCTTTCCTTCAAACAATACCAGCTGATTACCTTCTTTCAACTGTCCCAATCGTAAATGTCTTTTAAATATGAATGAGAAATCCTCATATGATGGAGGTGTCTAATTCTTAACATTATAGCCGCATCAACTTCTAAAACCACAGGTGTGTAAAATCTTATCATGGTCAGTGATACTTAAAAGCCCCAATGTTAGTTCAAATTCAGAAAACTCACCATAACAAATTAAAAGTTTGATTCATAGAGATTTCTTACAGATAAATCACATGTGATGACGGAAATATTTTCACCCTGCAATTTTGGTATGTTTTCCAAATGCTGAACAATCTGCTGGAAAAGCCCTTTTAAGCTAGCATCAAGGTCAAGAGCCACCATTCCTGGAGTTCCCAGCAAAAACCGGATTCTACCAGCACATGAAGACAGGTATGATAATGCATAGCCTCGGATAGCTGCATTGAATGTGAGAATTTTTAAAGACTTGTTTGTTCATACTTGAGGCCTAATGGAATAAGAAAACTACATGCCAAATAACTAGTTGCTGCACACTGACATATATAGATACTTCAGGAAATATGAACATGATGGCAATGCCTCGTGGTTGAACAAAAACCAGTTTCATAATAACGACCCTTGCCTAGCACTATATTAACTGCTCTGCATTCCATAGAACTACAAATTGGAACTAAAAGTTTAGTGACTTTTCTGCTTTATTATATAGAAATGATGAATAGCAACAGAAGAAAAATCTGCATAATAAATGCAGATGGACAAACAACAATAAGAAAAAATAGGACAATAGCACCAGGCTCTAAAGTCATGATTGAGCCTGCAAATGAAAACCTAACCCAGTTGGTAAGATGTATCAAACTTCACACTCAATCAATTTTAAACATTTCCTTCACATACTAGCTTTGTAAGATCATTTCTATCTTTCTTACTTGTAAGATCATTTATATCACTCTTCCTCATAAAAATAAAAATAAAATAAAAAATAAAAAAGAAGAGAATCAGATAGATAAGTGCAATAAGCAACCCAAATTCTAGGAAAGCCTCAGTGGAAGATAGCCTTTACATCAACTTAGTCATTCATCTGTATATAATACCAGTTAAGCACATTCTCTAACAAACTTAGGGAATGGTTAAAGAAAACTAATACACAACGAAACAGATGACGATTGTCCAGAGATTGGAGGGTTTCTTTTTGTTTTTTTTTTGGGGGTAAGGTGTCATGGATTTGATCTCAGTAGGAAGCAATGGAAAATGATTGCTTATTTACTCAACTAATGAGAAATAACAAAAATAGTTTGCAATTTAGCAGTTTTATGCGCAATATCAACATAAATGGATCGATTTGTCAGAAAAAGTTTTCACATCAAACCCTCTCTAACCTGCAATATACTTGCGCACAAGACAGCATAGATGATCCATTCCATCTAGTAAAAAGCCAATAGTTGGATCATTTGGATCCTGCCACCAAAAGTAACACCAATTTAAGTTAAAAATTAAAGTCACTTTGTATTATAATGACATTAGATTTACGCAAAGATGGGAGAACTTGTCATACTATGTCAACTGGTACTGCTCGAGCAGCTTTAGATTTCGATGATGCAATTCCTACATGTTGGAAATACCAGATAACCTCAGACTGTGCCAAAGCCAGGGCAGAGAATACCATCTGTAGGAAATACCATAACATTAGAGAATGATTGTTCCAAGCTGAAATTGTGGGTAAATATGCATATTATGGTACCATGGCAAGTAAAAAAGATTCAGAGAGAAGTCAGATCGCTCCCTTTTAGCCCAGAAATCAACTTCAATTACCATCAATTAGCTATATACAATATTTTCTTGCAAAAACTTGAGGGTTCAAACTCTTTCTATGGGTGTGTATGTGCGCATGTGTGCCTGTGTGAAAACATGAAGCAAATTACTGACTGCATTTATATTGAGACTGAACATAAGGATTCCTAACATAGCCAGAGTTGGTAAACCATATACTTAAATTCTTGTCTTTGAGAACTTTGAATATAAGCAAAAATGACAGGATAACAAAAGCAAAGGTAATATCACTTTAAATATACCTGGATGTTTGGAGCCAATAAACTTGGCTGATCAGTAAAAAACAGAACCATTCTACTAATTTCTTGTTTTAATAATATTCTCCTCTCATGGTGAATGACATCACAGGAGAGAAGTGCTTGCTCATGCACTTCACTGCAACATTGACAACATATCCAAATCATATTAGATACTGAAACACCAGGTATACTGGTTTTACTTAGGAACCTATCAATAGAAGCAATTTTGAAGAAAATTAACATTAACATATAAGCAGGCAAGAGATTGCAGCACTTTTTCATTATTTATGCACCAAGCAAAATCCCAGCCATCTAAGTACAGAGAGTTGATCATTTCTACACCACATTGTCAGGATTCTTCAACATTTCTATTTTGCTAGATTCACAGCTCAATTACTTATGTAACCAGGCCAACAATGGCTACAACACACTACTTGTTTTCTGATGATAGAACTATGGCTGAAACAGATGCCTTTCTATTTTCCCTTCTGTCTGTCTGTCTACAAACTTTGGTAACTACCTCAGAATGTGACAAGCCAATAGCTTCCAGTTACCTAGATTAATCCTTGCCAATTCCACCAGTGAAGTAATACACATACAAAATATAGAGCATATATCTCATTTTGTAAGGTTAATATAGTAATTTAAGGAACCAAGTGAAGAAAAGGATTAGACCAAGTCTAAAGAAAAAAACCACAGGACGGAGAGGCGATGGTTTTCTTCCTTCCATCAATACTATCAAATCAAAACTCAGTTTTACCTTATCATTTTCTCAACCTGCTTTGCCACACTGTACTCGAGATCTGCTTCCTTTTGCTTAGTACGACCAGATTTAGCCATTTTCTTTGATTCTAATATCCGAGGCAAAACATATAACTGATAATCCTCGTGCAATAGTGCATACTGCATATTCAAGATTTTGACAAAAATCAGCCACTGTAAACAAAGAACACAGTCTGGACAATTGAAAGTGCTACTCACCTCGTCCCTGAATACCGTAAGTATCAAATTTTCCTTCAGAACAACCTGAGGACCATTTTGAAAATTTTAAAAAATAAGAAAACATAGTGGAAAAAAAGTATCAGAGGACAAATGTATGAAGCATCCAGATAATTTTTGCTAAACCCTCATGGCAGTGGACAAAATTTCTGTTTTTGAGAGTGCCGGGTAAAGATACTAACAATAGAGAGAAAAATATTTGAACCAAAAGAATAAAAAGAAAAAAACTGCTTATAATTTCAGCCAAGCAAATTCATATTACCAAAAATCTGATAAGCAAATAAAAGAAAGTGCAGTGAAATCAGCAAAGTGAATCAGAGAGATTTACAACAAATAAAACTTTCCACCAATTGCACCAAACCCCATGGGTTAAGCTTTGCCACATAAACCAAGCCAGAAAGGCACTCTGTATTAATATTTGTCAACTACGCAGAATGTTAATTAGAACTGACTCTTTTCCCCAACAATTCTCAATAGATGATAAGTAGATTTCACAAGCTTTGACAGTACAAGGACTCTGTTAATCCATAAGTAATTTTCATATGCTTCGTTACAATCAGACATCAGAAACTGTTTTACTTCTAAACCAGGTTCTCATATCATAAATGTGGATCAAGCCACCATCCACACACACACACACACACACACAAAAAAAAAAAAAAAAAAAAAAAGAACGAACTTTGAAAGAAAGCATGAGTTCTTTCAAAAGATGATAATATTGATACATGTAAGAATTGTAATATGTGGTCAACTGCACTTGAAAATATGGGCTTGTAAGAAGTCGGGCTGGTTACTTACATGCTAGCCAGAAGCCAACAATGCTAACAATGACGTTCAATTCAGCCTGGTTTCTTATGCCAGTAAAATCCAATCTAATATGTTCTTAGGAATCATGTCATGAAATTCTAAGATGTCTATAATGAGAAACATTTTGTAAAATATAGTTGAACTTATCTCATTGAAAGTGTCATTCACACAGTATGTTGAGTATTCAATTGAGTATCCAATTTCAACAACATGCTTCTTCCTCACAGCATGTATCTATTTTTAATGAAAACATTATTGAATAGCAAGAAGGAACAAACAATTAATTATAAGAGGCATACCAGAGCAATATCAATGCTAGTGACACGAAGCAGCTCATCAGGACAAACAAGATATCCAAGTAGCACCCATTCCCTGTAAGAAGTAACATTTGCTAGATCTTGGGCTCTCTGAAATGTGAAAGTGACATGACAACAACCATTGAAATTAACAGAATTGTCCAATGATGGCAACAACAAAGTTTAGCAGCAACCATGGATGGCCACTTAAGAACTTAAAATACAACTTAACCCAAATGTCAAGATCTTTCAAAAGGACTATGTACCATGGGGTGAGCAGAATTCGTTAGTATATCTGGATACCGAGGGTGATAAGGACTTAGGAATCCCTCATTTCTGAGCTTCCTTGTATCTGTAGATAGGAAAATGATAGGACCCACAGCCTCTAAAACCTGGAGATAAATTTTCAAACTTAAGTTTGACATCATTTAAGCAATCAAACCAAAAGCAAACATAAGTCCGATTTCTGAATTTGCCAATATAAGAACTTGTGTGTGATTTAAGCAAAAAGGACTAGTTACTCTAGCTTCATTTAGTGATCATTTCATGACAGCATAACAGTGATTAACACAGTACCATGTGAGCATCATATTAACCAAATTCTGAAGAAAAGAAAAATCTCTTCTCATTTTGCATAAGCTATCATCAAACAATCTTTCTTTCCTTCAGGGAGCTTGAAACATATGGTCATTGCAGATATCTTAAATTCTACTCCTATTATTCAATTTCCAATTTTCTTTTCTTTTTTTTTTTTTTTTTTTGAAAGACAATTTGTAAAAGTAATATTGGTGGGAGAAGAGAAAAGTATGAGGAGGAGATCCCCTCACCATACTGATACTAGCAGGCTACATGATAATTTTTAAAGTTAATGGTCCAAGCCCCTCCTGTTAAAGAAGAATCATCCCACTATGAAGACACCAATGCCTTTTAACATATAATTCCAAAAGAAAAGGGACAGAGAGCGAGAAATGGAAATATGATGATAATTATTTGTATCAGTTTTTTCAATAGAAAAGGAACATAAATGACCTCTCCAATACGTGGACTGACAAAATTTAGATCTTCTTGTAATCCTTTCAATGGTGGATCATAAGAATCTATAAATTGAACCAACCTGCAATTCAAAAGGAGAAATATCTAAAATGAGTAATGTGTATGAGATACAACAAAGTGCCTCTAACATAACATAAACTGAAGTAACATGCTAAAAATACTACAAAAGATCAATATCCAAGCATGAACTTTCACATAAAAAAGGAATGTTTTGCCGCTCAAGAATTATGTCACATAAGCCTGTCAATCAAGATTTAGCCAGTAATAAGTAAAGGAGCAGAACAACCCTTGCTCTAGTTAGTGGGGAGCACCAAGCTTCAAGAATTTCTAAGTATAGTTTATTTCATTTAAGATCTTCCTCACAGACACCATCTACGCCCCAACCCCAACCATGATGACCCACCCATGTTGTAAGATTCCAGTTCCATCCCCTAGTACACTGATCATAGTTACTAGTATCTGTGAAGGGACTCACAACCTCATTTCTGTGTATAAAAACAGCCAGCATGGATTTTCATTGATAGATGATAAAGAGAAGATTCCATTAGAAAAAGGACAACTATATGCCCTATAATCCACAAAGTTAGACAGCATTTTTTTCAGCCTTGAATGAGTGAGGAAAAGAATCGTTGTCCTTGATTCTAAGACAAGCAAGCATTCAAATTTTAACATATAAAAGCAAAGCACTGTAAATAAGGGACAGTAAGCCATTTGGCATTACACTAATGTGCTAGTGGTGGCTCTGCAATAAGCCTAAAACAAAGAGCAAGTGATGCCAATAACAAGTCTGCTCTATAAGGAGCAAGTAGAGACAAAAAAACTCTAGAAATGAAACTCAAACTCAATTCAGAACCACTTCGAACCATCCATATTGCAGCCTTGTTAGTAGTAAAACTAATTCAGTGTTTCAATTGAACTCATCATTTTCAATCTCATGGATGGCTTTTGAATTCAAGATTCAAGGTAAAAATTGCTATCCATGAGTTCCTCTCTATTATTACAATGACCAGGTTGTCTTATTGACAACCAACATCTTAAGCAGGCCCAGGAGTGATTATACCAGCCAAAGTTACAAATTATATGCCCCATACTTGCAGAATCCCAACTGCAATGATACTAGACACTTCAAGTTCTGCATAGATAACCTTATCACAATTATTTACACAGGACTTCTAATCAAGTATCATTCTGTGATAACATCCTAATCTGCAAATTGCATGTTGAGAAACAGACAAATAGAGCCAGTAAGTTAAATTCATTATCTTTTATTACTGACGGATAAAATTGTGTTGCTAACCAAGTGATACTGAGAATATACAAGAGAAGCATCAACCCCAGTTTTCATTACAATTGGCCCATTAGCAGGACATACAAAGATGACTGCACTAATAAAAATGTATTCCATACCGATGATAGAAATCACAATCTCTGTCATTTCTTGACATGGCATGCAGAAGGTTATACATTTGCAGCATCATTTTCCTCGGAATCTGTACGAGGCATGAAAGTCTGGTGGTGTCAGCCAGATAAGAAGAGTGCTTATGCACACAAGTTCTTTAATAAAAGGATACAAGAAACATGGAATAAATAAAGGAGCACGAATTAAAAAGCCCACCTACCTTCTCAGACAAAAGATTAACACGAACGAAGGAACAAAAGAGATCCATAAACGCATGCAGTATGAGCGAGTTTTGATGGGGCTGCAAAATACTGCACCAAGTTATCAGAGATACCATAAACAAATCAAGCCACTATGTTTCTCATCTTCTAAATGAATAGGAGGGGAAAAAAAGGGAAAGGGTCAGTTCAGCATCTTCCAATCATCCAGTGCATGATACATATTAAAAGGCCAAGTTATATGGATCTTTCAGCTATTGAGGTTGATACATTGCACTTTGCACAATAAAGGAGAAGATTTTGATACTCACCAACAAGGTAATCACAGTACTACTTAGATCCAATATGAGTCGCAAAGCTTGTTCTCGGAATGCCATCAGGTCAAGAAGTAGCTGGCAACACAAAAGCAAGCCATTAAGTAGCCATAAATCTTGATTTACAATCTCTAATGTCATTTGTTAGACAGATTCTTTTAATCAAAATCTTGTGTTACAAACCAAATAACTACCATAAAGCCATTCCTAACTTGTACCATCGAAACTAGCAACAGCAAAGGAAGAATAATAAAAGAAGATGCAATCAAACCTCACACATGTCCAATAATGAGGTAACTAAAAGAAATAGTAGTTCTGATCATTTACATTTTAGGATAAACTAAATAAGCATGTGATTTTCATCCCCCTTTTGGGGGAGAAGTGATAGGATATTTGACTTCCCTTTTACTATTACATCTAATCTAATTTCATGACTGCTGTTCTCTCGTTTCCTATTTTTATGTTACTGCAGAAGTTCTGAAGTGGGCAAACATTTTGCCAAGCGACCACAGAAAAGAAAAAAACAAATCCCTCTTCTGTCATTGATTGTCAATCACACCCATACACTGCCTGTCCAATTCCATTGCATGTACTTGGACGACTTCCAGTCCTCATTTTGCTCCAGTCACCATACTCCTTTCCATCATGTTGTCATTTGCCCATACTTATTATAATAATTAGTTAGAGTATACATCTATCAAATCTTTGGATACATGATGCTGTTTGAGCAAATATACCTGCATGGGTATTTAGTATTTTAACTTGTGTCAACAACCAATGCCGAAGTCACCAGTGATCAATCCAATGATCAGTTGTGGAATTATACTTGCAGCGAGATCAGTACCACCAAAAGTGCAATGGAGGACCCCCATTTGTCGACCACCAACATTTTATGTATCAAACCTTTGGATACGTGATGCTGTTTGAGCAAACATACTTGCATGGGTATTTAGTATTTTTACTTGTGTCAACAACCAATGCCGAAGTCACCAGTGATCAATCCAATGATCAATTGTGGAATTATACTTGCAGAGAGATGAATACCACCAAAAGTGCAATAGAGGACCCCCATTTGTCTACCGCAAACATTTTTATGGATGGCTACTTTCTTAATTGTCTGCTTCTCAAGGAATGCTTAGAAATTAGGAGCGAGCATGAGTTCTTGCATAAAAGCAGGAAATATGTGACCTTAAGCTTCTTATTATTCTTCAAGTGACAGAAGTTAAATAGTTATATAAGTTTATTTTTCTTGTACCTTCCTCTGGCTAATGTACTCTCTTCTTTTTCTCGAGAAGTAAAAGGGATCTAAAAAAATGATGAAAGAGGGAACTTTCTTCGCAGATAGGTGTGAACAATTTATTCAGGCAAAATATTAGACATGATAACCTTAACTATTTTTAAAATTATCATAATACCATTCTACCAATAAACCTCGATAAACTAAATTTGAGAACTTAACCTTCTTATTATTCTTTATGATATTTATATGTAAGTCATGGTAATTAGCAATTAAAACACAACAAAGCTGTAGCTGGGCAATTAAGAGCATGCTAAAGCTGCCTCCCTTGTATCAGCCTTTTAGGATATTAAGGATTACATAGATGAGAAAAGGATAATTATATGTTCAGATTCAAGCCTGACCATTGTTTCAGCATGCATTTGCCACATAATTTGAAATATATATTATATATCAATAATTCAATTTCCAATAGCATCTCTTCCTCTCCCTTCCTATGGACTATCTTCTAGATTCAGACCAAAAACCAAATCCAGTTAGCTTCGTCATTAATTTGTATTGGTTCAGATGCAATGTTAGATGACTCGAGTACTAAGCAATACCGACAGTGGCATTACATTTTTCCTCAAGTGATCATTTCTTCAGTAAACTGAGCAAATTACTGAGAGTAAATCAGTCATTAAAATACATCAACTCTGACCCATTGTTCACAGGTGAAAACAAAAGGCTTCAAATTTCCTACGAGGAGCATGATATGAACATGAAGATAGTTTTACCTCAATAGAACTGCCCTTCACTATGAAAGCAAGTATCATTATTTTAAAGCATATTAAAAATTCTTAGGCCTAATACAGAACAGAATTTAATTGAATAAGGAACCCAAAGTTCTTTCCATATACTAGCAACTCAGCAGAGTTCTCACTTGTAGGTGGCAAGCATGATAAATCTACTACAGCTGAGCCAAGCCAGCTGATACATCTCCCATCACTTGGTTGCCCAGGTTGTTGAGACTGTATGAACTCAAGCTCAGTTAGGATGCCAGGAGAAGATTCAAGATGTCAAGCTACAGTACTATTTAGGCTCCAGCCAAACTTCAAACTGGGCTTAACTTCCTAGTAATTTGTACTGAGACAAAGACCAAGCAACTAAGTGCCAGAAACCGTATTTCCTAATCACCCTGAGTTTGAATCTTACAAGACTTCTTCTATGATACTACAACATGATGAGTTCAAGAACCAGATTGTAAATATGGCTGTCAACACCATTGAAATAGACTTTTTGACATCAAAACATAAACATGTTGCTTCAAACATGTTCATCCTTTAGCAATCAACATGCTAAAGAAAATCACTTGACTACTCAGTCATTGAGACAATCAAAATTCTTTATAGAGTCGAATGCTTTCATACATCTACCAACACGTATTTAACTATGACAGAGGCTTAATCTGCCACAAAGGACTAGTCCCAAATCCCCTACAGTTTTCACTAAATGTAATGATCATCTAGGATCTTGAGTATTGGATATGCACATAATAGAAAACGGTGCAGCAAAAACCAACTTCATACCTGGACCCAAGGCTCCAAACTGAGCAAATGAGCTTCTGCACCATCATTCAAAGCATCCAAAGCAACCTTATCAACCTGCACCGATATCCCAAAAGTTAAATAACTCAACTATAAGCCAACAAGACAAAACAACACTTCTTCCAACAGAATACTGAAAGTTCTTACTCGTTCAAGCTGCAATTTGCTGAAATGCTCTGGAAACTTTTTTGAGAGCAATAAGCAAATCCTTGGATAGTTTGGGAACACTCCTGCTTTCCAAAATGCTTCTGAAAACGCATGACCAACTGGATCCGGAAAATCCAAAATTTGATTCAATCTATACATTTTCGCCATAAGGCCTTCAGCTACCTCAGTAAGTTGAACTACCCACTGCAAATTCAAACCCTTATGAGACCCACCACCCGAACTCTGAACCTGTCCATCCGAACCACCCTTATTCCTAGACACCCTCGATGTCATTGGCGAACTCATATCAGGACCCAAATACTCAGTCCATCTCGACGGACCCTCCCATTCCCTCGATCTTACACCAGTGGGTGATAGAGATGGATCATAAGTCGAATATTGTTGCCGCTTTGCCATTAATTAATTATATCAACTCCACCTCAAAACCCTGCAAGTTAGGATTAAAACCCCATTAATGTTCCATCTAAAACAGTAATGAATTCTGATTTTTTTTTCCTAATCAGTTTTTAGCTTCTAAATTACGCAAATACCCTTCTTCTTTTTTTCAAAATTTTGAATATTGATGCATTCACCATTTAATACCCAGTAGAAAAATAAAATCTTTTAAGGCATTCCTCACTTTTGTAAACAGAATCTAATAAAAGTAAATAAATATACAAATTACAACCCATATAAATATATATCACAAGCAACCAAACCTGACCTGAAATATCCAAAATCAGTAACAACAGTAAATATCTTAACAAAAAAAGGCTGCATTTGGTATCCAAGCAATTTAAGAAACACAAATTAAACAAACAAAAGTTAATTTATGAAAAGAAAAAACAGAAATAGATTCTCCCATTTTTCTTTTCTTGCAGTTTTTAGCTTCCAAATTACACAAATACTCTTCTTCTTTTTTTAATTCTTAATATTCATCATTCAATATCCAACAGGAAATAAAATCTACCAGAGAACTATTAAATTATTCACTTTTTTTTCAAACAGAAACCAAACATGACTTATCCAAAATTAGTAATAATAGCAATTGTCTAAAAACATTAAAAAAAAAACACGATAAATTTAAAAGCTTTTTCTTAAAGCAACAAAAAAAAAAAAAAAAACGCTAATCATTTCTCTTACTAACTTAAATTTTGAAATAAACAATGTGTAAATAATCTAAGCAACCAAACAGAGCACAAACACACTAAACAAAACACACAAAGAACGCAGCCAGCCAACTAAACTAGAAATCAATCAAAATCAGAAACAAAAATTATTCCAAAATTAGAAACTTCGCATACTCTTTTAGGTTTACTCAGCAAAATGCAAGAGAAGAGAAACTAAAAAGTCCAAAATGCAAACCGCAGTTATCATCTCTAACAAAGCCACAAAGAGGGATAGAGAGAAGCTTACAAAAATGGAGCTAGAGAGGTCAAAAATAGAGTTCGTTCGTTAAAAATGACGTAAACTTCAGATCTGAGGAAGAGAGGGTTTTAGAGAGAGAGAAAGAGTGCGGGTAGTTGTTGGTTTTTTCAGTCGTAGGAAGAGAACTGCGGATTTTTTTTTTTTCTGTTTTTTAATGGAGAAAGAAAGTGGAAAGAAGATTTATTATTGTAATGACATGTAAATTACGATTTTATTCGTTAATTAAGAAAACAAATAAATAAAAATTTCTTTTTTTTTTTATGTGAAGAGAGAAGAAAATGATTTTGAGATGGTGAGTTGCACGTATATAATAAAAATACAGTATAAATGCACAGATGAAGAGTTGATGAGCGGAGCGGATGAGTAAATAGTAAATTGGTCCTTCTAGTTTTGAAAAACGAATTAATTAATTCCTTTTGTTTCAAAGTTAATTATTTAATCTTTTTCATGTTATGTTCTTTTTTAATTTTGCTTCTTTTTTTTTTTTGAAAAAATAAATAATTAGATAGATATTATGGACAAAAGGATGAAAAATACTTTTTTTAAAAAATAATTTAATATTAAATTAAGCATAATCAACACAAATTAAATAATTAATTTTGAATAAAAAGATTAATTAATTATTTTTTTAAACTAGAGGGACTAATTTATAATTTACTCTGGAGGGAGACAAAACGACAGTTACTCGTGATATTGTGCGGGCGATGGTAGGACATTTATGGTGCGGTTGCTGTCTTGTGCCCATTTCAACTGGAGGGTTCTTAGAAATTTGGATGAGAAATTTGTGTCTTGTATTTTTTAAGATTATTTTAATTTTGGATTTTTTGCATTTACATTTTCTTGTATTTTTTGAATTATTTTCATCAAAATTTTGTATTTTTTTAAATAATGATTGAGTTGTTTTATTATACATTTTATTTTATTACCTTCTCTTTTATTATAATATTATTAGTTCGTAAATTATAACATGTGTTATGCATAAATTTTTAAAAAAAGAAAAATGAAGTCCTTCCTAAGTCTTTCATTCTCTAAGTCGAAATCCAAAGAAAATACTAATTAATTATTTACAAGTGGCCATATTGGTAATCTGCTTCAAGGAAAAAAAAAAAAAAAAGAGGGAAAAATCTTAATCGTATGGTAAACTAGACAATTTAAAAGGTTATATCACTTCGTCTTAAGGTCGCCCATTGAAATGATAGAGGTCCATGACTGATCACGAGACAGATTACAAAATGATAATCTTGTCACTTTATGAAGGTTTTCAAAAGGGAAAATCATAGGTTAGGATTTTAGTCATTGTCCACGGTACTGGTGCCGAAAGAGAATCAAACATGTGTAAAATTGTATCACTTCCTCGTACTATTTTATTCAAAAAAAAAAAATTATGATTAGCATTTTTAAAAAATAATTTTTAAAATACTTGAAAGCGTGTCAAGGAGGATAGGAGTACTTTTTAGCTATGCTCAACAAAATATTCCTCTTAGAAATTGACTCGTGAACATTTTTATAGTTGAACCTAAAAAAAACTTAATTAACATGTTAATTTTTAAAAATTTATTTTTAAAATATTTAAAAACATGTGTTGGCGAGTGAGGAGTGTCTTTTAGTTAAAGTATTCACGCGTTAATTTCTACACACTTTAAGAGGAATTTTTTTTTTTAGAGTGGCTAAAGAGCACTTCTTATTCGTCAATGCATGCTTTTAAATATTTTAAAAATAAATTTTTTAAAATATTGATCACAATATTGAAACTCTGAATCTAATTTATAAATCGACATTTACTTATCAATGAATTATCATCTTGTAGTTAGTTAATTAATTAATTAATTAAGTTAAAAATATATCAAGTTGCTATTATTTGATATCACTTAGTTACAACACAATTCAACTTTTTATAATATTTGAACCCTTGACATCGACCAACAATCAAGAAATCTTCTATTCTCTTTTCTTTTTTTTTTTTTTAAGTTTTAACTCTGAGTTATTCTCAACAAATCAAGTGTCGAGATTAAATCAGTTTTAAACCACATTTTATATAAATTATCTACATCCATACTGACATATTTATGAGTATGAGATATTTTTCTTACAATCTGGCAACGTTTTATCATACATTGAAATAAAATGAAAACAAACTTAATTACGACAACATATTTTATGGTGGACTAATTAATGATAGATGTGTATATATATATATATATATATATATATATTAAGAAAATATGTAATGATGATTATACAATATGATGGATGGGTTGTGGTAGGGTTTTCATGCTGAACGTACAAGAGAAGAATTCACTAAATTCTGGATTATGAAAACATACTTGACTTAGACATTAAGCCAACATAATTGGACTTACACTGTTTAAAAATGAGTGTAATATTTTAAGAGTTATTTTTTAATACGTACAGAGACACATAAGACATGGTGTATTCACCTCTTAAATCTCTACACGTGGCCCCTATATCACCAACCATCAAATTCCACTATATTAATTTACTGATTATTGATTTCATATGAGAATCATAACAAAACCGTTGAAGCTGTTAGCTAACAAGTGTTTGATAGTACGGACGGTTAGAAAACCGACCAACGGAAATGGAGTAGTTAGCTAGTTGTTAATACAAAACGTGGTAGTAAACCTACCAAACAAACAAAGTATGAAAATCCCAAAGCCTTTTTGGGTCATTTATGGCAGGTGGGAAGGACTCTTGTAGCTACAATAGGATTTGAAAAAAGAATTTATTGTGATTTTTGAATCTGTTCTTTCCATGACTTCTCTTAACAGAACGAGGAAAGAGATTCAATAGTCAATAAAATTTGAAAAAAAAAAAATTGATTGTGATTTTGAATCTATTCTTTCCATAACTCATCTTAACTAGTTGAAAAAAAGATTCAATAGTTGAAGTAAAAATCATTTTGATTCTACGCATATATTAATTAAGTCATACTCAGAGGGTCTGTTTTTTTTTTTTTTAACTTGTGTCATGTCACAAATCGAATAGAACACATAGAATTATTTTTAAAAATTATTTTAGTTTAATGTTTCGTGTTTTATTGTAAATATATCAGAATATATCAAATGATAACTAAATAAAAATTCATTCAATTTTTTAATTTTTTAATCAAAATTTTAAATTTGATTTATTATTCTTTATATATTTTCAAAAATTTTCAAAATATTATTTATTTATCTCTATCTACATACTAAAAAAAATTATAATAACATAAAAAAAGTCAAAATTAATAGACTCTTAGTTAAAAACTTATTTTATAAATTATTTTTTAAAAAAATTTTTTACCTTATATTTTTAGTTAAAAAACAAAGAAAAAAATAAAAAACTAAAGTGATCAAAATGAAAAAAAAAAAAAAAGAAAGAAAGAAAGAACCAAAATAAAACAAAAAATATGTGCATCTCAGTTTTGGTGAATAACGCAAATGATTTTGAGTAAACAATGTTTCAAATAATGCAACAAACAGTGATCGATCGTTTTACTCTTTTTTTTTTTTTTGTTAATAATTTTTTTTAGCTCAACCATCCTATCTTGTCGAGCAGACCAGGAATATATATATATATATATATATATATATATATATATATATATATATATATATATATATATATATATATATATATATAATGGATTCATCGAGAAAAAGAGAGGAATTCGAACGATAGATCGTGTGTATATATAAAAATTAAAACTAATAGTGAGATTTTAAACAAGATCAATAGATTATTTTCGTGGAGAATGCTTATTGAGTAATAAGAGCATCGATTAACACATGTAGGGAATAAGTTACGAGTAAGGTGTTGGTGATTTCTAATCAAACATGACATGAAAATGGTTGATTAGAATGTAGATTTAAACATATAGACGTAAAGAACCTGATTCACCCACAATTGCGTTAAGTCACCATCTCAGTATTACCTCTCATTTTTGAGTTAAATGGACTCCATCCACCATGGTTAGAGGAAGCAAGTGTTTCTAGGTTCTCTAAGAAATACTAGTACTAAAGCCGGCTTCTATGACCTCCAACCCTTTTCATCCTTCCCTTCCGCAGATGTAAAGAGAGAGGTTTTTTTTTTTTTTTTTGGCCCTTTTTTTAGCTTTAGAGATAGAGTAGATGAAGTAAGAAAAGATGGATCCAACCATCAATCTATGAACAAGTCGAGCCATGAAGAAACCAACCGATTTCAAGTTCACACTTGGCAAGGAATCAAAACTCTTGTTTCTTTTTCAAGTAAAGGCAAGTTAATTTTGTTAGAAAATACCGACCACTAAAATAAATACAACTTGAATTTAATCAATGCCTTTGTTGGCTAATTCTATAATACAATTGCAAAAATATATTTATGAAGAGTCAACTCTGTCCATTGGCGTATAATGCTGCATGAACAACAGTAAGCAAGAAGCACGTGAAGAGAACAAATGCTGAAAGCTCAGACATAGAAGGATGTAAATGAGGAGTGAATCTGATGAAATTGTTGCGTTGCTTGTTCATCATGTGCTAATATGAGTATAGAGTAGACCTGTTTTCCAAGCAATGGGATTTGGCAACTGAAGTGAATGATCATGTTTATAGATTACAGAGAACTTGCTAACAAGAAGACGGTAAGGACATCCAAGAAAACAACGAGAGCATGCATTCGGAAAAGAATAGGGAGCAAAGAATGTAGTTGCATCTTTTAAACATGAAGTTACTTTTTGCTCGTTATTATATTTAAAATAGCTTAGAAATTTAAGAATGAATAACAGGATACAACATACTAGTTATAAAAGGAGATCGTTTCTGACTTTATATATATATAGAGAGAGAGAGAGAGAGAAACTGTAACACTTGTGTAAATGTATTATTGATATAAACCTCATAATTACTTGCAGTAAGATTACAACAGTCCAGAATAATAGTGATATCCAAGCTAAAGTTACGGATTAATCATGCAGAAAAGGCAACATACCAAGACTCAGCGAAGGTGATGCCTGCACAATAAAATGTAAAAAGCAAGATAGAATTACTTATTAACAGAGATTGATGAAGATCAATAAGAATTAAGATTAGGGCAAAGTAAACCTTAGTGTTTCTTTTGTTCCGCGTCGAATTTTGCAACGAATTGTTGGGAGCCCAAGGCGCTGATGAGCTTCATACCGATGGCAACCCGAGAATCCTTTGAAAGTATTGACAAAAGGCAATGACATTAGATTGTACGTGAAGACACAAGATTACCATATGAGCATAAGACTCATTTAAGATTAAGAAACGCAAAGAGCACGTACCATAGTAAACTCCATCTACCTCAAGCACATCAATCTGCAATAATTTATTAGAGTTAATGACGACAAAAAACAAATTTGAAGTTATAAATACTAACACACATGCCATTAGAATTAAGTGCTTATGAGATTCTGTTTATGATTTGCTTAAACAGTCACACTTGGTCTCCCTTCCTCCAAGAGGTCGCAAGTTCGAACCTCGGCTTTGTAGCCAAAAAAAACTATGAGACTTGGTCTGAATTGAGAGGTTGAGGGAAGACAAGTGAAATTTAAGGAAGCAGATCTACATCCCTTATTTCAGCAATAAATTGAGGAGAGGACTAAAGGGCACTTCCATATGACCCATTTCTTACTTTTCCTCAAAAGTAGATCAATTGAAAAATAAGAAATCCAATGAAGTATCAATATGAAGCAACTCATTATCCTCGTCTTCAAAGGAAAGATACAGCTGTAACAAGACTATATACACAGGCCACCATTTTTGTAATCTGTCTACCATGAAATTCAATTTCATGAGCCAAAAAGATATTACTACATGGTCTCAAGCATGCCAAAAGGTATGAAAAACATGTTCAAGATTCCCAAGTTTCATTTTGTGAATTGGGTGTCATTCGATAAAATCAGCCATTTGACTGTACAGAAAAGTCAAGAGTTCAAGAGAATAGGTTACTTTTTATACATATCTGGAAGTAGCCTCTTAAGTACTTCCCAGACACATGTCTTTCATACCCAGTTCAAGATTCTTAAAAGACAACCGAATTGGGGCTTGAAGGAGAATTGGCCTTTCAATCTTGTAAATTATTTATAAAGATCAACGCTATCTAAAACAGGTATGTTACATATAACATAGCCTAAATAATACACAAAACTCCAACAACTTAAAAGTTCATTGTTCTCAAAATTCATAAACTTCAGCAAGTATATATTACAAATGACATCAAGATTCTTACAGGTACTTGAAGACCAATTTCTTTGATGCTATCCATGAGTTCCTTCACCTTAATTGGATCATTAGCTCTGGTTCTCATCAATGGCCTTCTAATCTTATCAAGTGGCAGCTCTAAGATCACTGGGCCCCCATTTTGTGTAGTACTAGTCCCCGGGACAGCCCCTGAATCTAACAACAACCTTGTCAATTACAGAGATAAAAAGTAGTTCTTATATATATATAGCGAGAGAGAGAAAAAGTTCTAAAGACGGAAAGAGTACCATTTGATGAAGCTGAAATAGAGAAGCTCCTCAAGCTGGTTGCTGGCAGTCTCAAAACAAAATTTGCCATTTTTTCAGTAGCCACCCATCCCCCTCAGTTTCTCTTTTATTATTAACCAAAAAAAAAAAAAAAATTGGTGGCCTGGGTTAGTGATGCATTTGATTCCTTTACTGTTACATCTGTCCTAATTTAGTTACCTTAGTCTTATTTGTACTAATTCCATCCTTCTATTATCTATTTTGTAAGTTGTTGTTCGATCAATCACGACGTTAAATCCCATTGAAAAAATACACGATATAATACTATATCAAATTAATTTCTATACATACTCCTCTAAAATTAGATTTTTAACATAATGAAAGGATCAAATAACCACAAAATAGAGAACAAGAGATGAAATTAGAATAAATAGAAGTTACAGACCGTATTAAGACAAAACTGTGAACAAAAGCACCATTATAGTCCAACTTTATAACAACCGTTGATAAAAAATATCAATTGGGTTGGCCCACAATCTTTTGGCGGTCCAGATTATACTGTCAGGTAAGGGAAAATGTAACTTGCCTAGATTAGCTAAACCCTCAAAGACTGCATAAATCCTCTCACGCCTCAGGGGTGCTTTCTTTACTGCTAGCCATGGCTGCAATTGGGTCCTTCAGCCTGCTTAGGTATTCTTCCGCTCTATGTATCTTTAAATGCCATGCAATTGGTGGGTTGTGTTTAATATTTGTATATAAACAGGAATTTTGCAGTAACTAAAAGCGCATTTCCAAATGTGAGAGTCTTACCAAGAGCTAGTTCTGGTTTCAATTCCATTAAGTTCCTTCATCCTAACCATTCTCAAAGGTATGACCTTTTGTTTTTCTCTTTGTAATCTATAGATTAAATTTTATTGCTTGCTTTCTATAATCTATGTATTGATGCTATATGTCAATTCATAGCCTAAAAAGTATTGATTTTTTTTTAGCTATTCATAGTAACCGCTGTAATGGGTCTTATTATTACGTTCTGGTTTGGATTTTATGTTACCTTATTGTTTGAGTTAGAAGGATGATACCCATTATTAAAAATCGAGCAGAGAGGCTCTTTTCTCTTTTTATTTCATGATTTTGGAAGTTGTTTAAGAGTTTTGTTGATATGTCTGTTGCTGTTGTATTGTCATGGTTCCTCATATTAAAAGTTGGTTTCGGTTGAAATTTTAGACATTGAATGTGAAAGTGAACGGGTTCCAATTTATGAGGCAAGTGTGACCCCTTGGTCAGTGAAAAGAATCATGCTTTGAAAGTGGCAATTCACTGAAAGCCTAATTATTGGGATGGTTGAATGCTTTATTTATAGTAGCTAGAAACTGCTGAAGCTTGCCTCATATCTAGATTATGAAAAGAAACTTCCTCAAAAAAGCAATGCAGTTCTGTAGGTTGTAGCTTAGAACCCACATGTAATACTTTCAGTAAAGATGCATAGTAATCTCCCTTGCTTATTTGGATGATTCTGTAAAGATCCTCTTGCTGTTGCCTTTTCTTTCATAGTCAGTTTATTCTTGCTTGGGCTTTATGTGGTTTTGGTTACTGTTCCTTCAAATGGATTTTCAAAGAAAAGTTGAACTGCCACTTTGAATCTTCTGCTGATTTCTTGATTGTTTATGACTCTATTTTTCAGATCTCTCTTTTGCACTAAGGCTATACATGACGAAGAGGCTTCTGCAAAAGCAGCTGCAGCCAGTGCTGACAGCGGAGCTCCTACCATGTATCATCACTTGTGACATAGCTGGTTTGATCTCATGTTTTTAAAAATAGTCTGAAAATTTTTGCATTTTTGCATTGAACATTTTAAGTATTCCCTGTCAGATGTCCAGTGACCCTATTTTTTATCTCAAGATTTAAACTCTCGAGTGTGAGAAAATCATAGTCAATACTTGGTAATTCTTTATAGAGACTCCTTGTTGAAGTAAAATGAGGAAAATGTGCATACAAATATACAATTATCCCAAATTTTCAAAATTGGCAGTTTTAAAATAGCGAAGTTCTATTGGGCAAGGATTTTTATTTTTTATTTTATTTTTATTTTTTTTAATTTTTTTAATTTTTTTTTTTTTTTGAGGTGCCAAGAAATAAATGATGACCTTTGCATATGTAGATTCAGGAAATAGTTGAGGGTGCCTGAAACTTGAAGTTAGTATCTGTGTGTAGGAGAGGGGAGGGGAGGGGAGCCTGGGAGGTTCATGGTTTGTGTTTGGGTGAGAAGAAGAGAGTTTCATTATCTGTTGAAGAAAAGAAAAGCTTGTTATTTTAGAGTATTGGAATCAACTCTTCATCGAAAATGTTTGTGTAGAATATCAGCTGAAAGTCATCTTTCCTGTGATGTGTTGGAGTGGTAGTTCTAGAAGATTACTGTGCCATTTTCATACTGATAAGAGTTTTTCCTTTCCTCTCCAGTTTTGACAAAATCATAGCAAAGGAAATTCCTGCATCCATTGTATATGAGGATGAAAAGGTCCTAGCATTCAGGGACATCAATCCTCAGGCTCCTGTTCATGTTTTGGTCATTCCAAAGATCAGGGATGGATTGACAGGGCTTGGGAAGGTTAGCAATGGCCATTTATCTTTCATTATGAATGCATGCATACATGCTCATACACATTACATGGACGCAAAATTTTGAGTTTTCACTGAAAATACTTATTGCATACTTAACCAAATGGATAACATGAGAACAAATATGAAATTATTAGCATGGTATATTACTATATATTTCGAAATGTTTATATATGCTGGCTCTCCTTCGTGTGGAATACCATGGACATGACTTGTAGATGTTCCTTCTGCATATCATATTTTGTGTCAAAATGTCGTCCTTATTTCTTCTTTCTGTTCAACGATAGGGCATCCGTTAGACTGTCACCTTAAAAAGAATCATAAAGATATGGATAGCTGCAAATCCTCAACATATAAACCGTATCTTCTTAAATGAGTGTGTTGTAAATTGGTATTTAATTGAAATGACTTGATTCAGCTTTGCAATTTAAATGGTACCATGTTATCTTCCTTTTTATCAGGCAGAAGCAAGGCATGGAGAGGTGTTGGGCCAACTTCTTTGTGCTGCAAAAATAGTGGCTGAAAGGGAAGGCATCCTCAATGGATTTCGTGTTGTTATCAACAACGGTCCCGGTGCCTGTAAGTTCTCACCTCATTTCTGTAACTTCTGGTCTGTGTTAGTGTTGTTTCCATCCATTATGATGCTGATGGCTTGCTCCCTCTGTCCAGGTCAATCCGTCTTTCATCTCCACTTGCATGTCCTGGGTGGAAGACAAATGAAATGGCCACCTGGTTAAAGATTTGAATAAATTCATCTTGAAGCTTGATTGCGCCATTTTGTTCCTTGTACACACACTCACTTTCTTGATATCTTTTTATATTTGATCTTAATTTTTTGTTTTTAGTCGTAACCTGGGATGTCTTATGAACACCTTACAAAGTGGAGATTTTTCTCCTCCATCCTCTGTAATCTCCATGATTATATATAGGGGTGCATCAGAAAAATTGGTTTTGTAATCGAATTGCATGTTACTGCAACTTAGGTTATTTGCGAATTGTGTAATAAAACCACACAGTATGTTTATAAATGATCTACAAACCATCCTATTCTGCAGATGAATTACAGAATGTCACTATGTGATTAAAGTTCAATTCTGTTATTATTAACTTTGAATAGCTGCTAGAATTTCTTCCTGGTTATTACTCCTATTTATGTTGCCTGCTAGTTTCAAAATATAATTGTAAGTTTACCAAAATATAATATCATTCGTACCAGGTAATGCTCCAGAAAAACTAAAGAATTGCAAATGGTTAGAAAACAGAATGTTCATTAGCTAATATTTTAATTTAGGATTCTTGGGTTAGGTTTTGTGCATCGAAGCTAAGTATTTTTTTCTGGTTCGGTCTTGAGCAGGGTACCTAAAGAAACACGGTTTTGTTTTCAACCAAGACTAAAAAGCTTATCTGAGTCACTCTATAGGAACCACTGAAGGATATAGTCTAGCGATAAAATAGTAGTTTTTTATTTAGCCTACATCAATATTCAATTTTTACTATTCTTTAATGAAACTAACTAGAATTATTCTTTAGTGAAACTAGACTTGAGCTTATTTGGTCTAGGAGAGCCTAATGATCGGCCAGAGGCTAAATGTGTGCTGTCTATAGTTTAGCTAAGGAAGTGACGGATTTAGTTTCGATTGATGTAAAAATTCACTAAGAATACCTATTATTAGTATATATATATATATATATATATAAGTGAATTTTGATTTGTCCTTCTCTCCCCTGGGTTTAAAGGAATTTTTTATGAGATTTTGTTTGTATCAATTATATTTCTGAATTTTCATCTAAGTTTCTTCTCTTTCATTTATTAAACGAATATAACTAATGATGTGCTATTTTTATGTTTCAATTGACTTCCTAATTTTTTTTTAAAAAAAAATCTTAATTGATTATCCATTCTTCAGTCATGTTAACTATCTTATTCTTTTCAATTAAGATTTTGTTTTTTTCATGTTTTTAAAATTTATAAAATTTTAATATGTAAAAAGATATTAATAAATAACTATCTTATTCTTTTTAGTTAAGATTTTTTTTTTTTTTTGTATTTCATATTTTTTAAATTTATAAAATTTTAATATATAAAAATATATTAACAAAATTACAAAAATTCAAACTATAAAATTTTCATATTTTAATAAATCCGTACGATCTAATACTAAGTTAAAATAGCTTCATGATAAAACCAAAAAAAAAAAAATTAACATAGTTTGGTATCTTCTTTTTATTTTCCTCTTTCCCAAAAAAAAAAAAAAAAAACAAAAAACAAAAAACATACGTTAGTTGTTTAAAACATAAAGTTTAATATATATATATATATATATTCCAAAAACATAACTTAAATTTTCATATTGATACTTCAATCATATTAAAATTCATAAGCTAAAACTGTGACATTTTGTAATTGAAATAATACGACATTTTATTTTATTTCTTTTCAAATTTTGATGAATTAAATTTCTTGAATTTTAATATAATTGAAACAGAAAGATTTGATTGAGACTTTTTTAACAATTTAGGAAGCCAAATGAAACATAAAAAATGTCATATCATTAGTTATATTAGTTTAATAGATAAACTTTGATAAAAGTTCAAAGGAGTATTTGATATAAACAAAATCTCAGGAAAGAAATTGAAACCCTCCCAACATCATCAGGACGGAAGAAGAAGCTTATCTAATAAGTCTATGTAGTGAATTAAGCAGAAGGAAAGTGACTATAACTTCAGAAAGGACAATTTAAAAATTTGCCCAATGAAATGAAACGGAAAGATAATTCTATTAGTTAATCAAGAATTTTCTAACCAAAACTGCCAAACAGACCACAAATTCTGCTAATAATCAATTAATTTAAAGTGATTTTAGGCATTAAAATAGAAAAAAAAAATTGGATAACAAAATAAAAGAAATTACCAATTGGACCAAAAATGTAATTTTTTAAAAAAAATTATAACTTAATTTTTTTCTTTTCTTTTTCAATTTATTTTGATTTTTTGTTTTAAGAAATATAAAAAGCAAAAAATATGAAAAGATTGATGAGAAAAAAAATAACATTTTACAAAATAGAGTAATATTAAATTAAACGTGATCAATATTGATTAATAAACTAAATAGTTAGTTTTTTTTTTAAAAAAAAAACTAATTAATTCATTCCTCAAAAATAAAAAGGACTAATTACTAATTTACTCGTACATCGCTGCAGATAAATGTTTTTGACAAGGTGTAAATGTTTCCTTTACAGCTAAATAAATATCTAGTGTAGATTCTTTGAAAGATTAACATAAACCAAATTTAGGAATAGGTAACCTATTTTTGATTTTATTTATTAACAAATAAGCATTCACTTACAAATAATCAAGTTCCAACATGATTTCAATAATGATTAGAGCGTGATCTCGGTTGATCGTATAATTAAAAATAATTCATCCTCTACAAAACAAGTCATCCTCTAATGTTTAAAAGACTCTCTAACGACTAAGTTAGTATACCAAGAGAAATATTTGCAATGGATAGGCTAAATTGTATTAGGCTTAAATAGGCTTAATTATCTTTTTCACATTTAGCGGGAGAAAATATATGATATTACATCCATTATAGAGCTTAGGAGACAAGACCTATAACACATGGAGTGTTAACCTTTATACACTGGGAGTAAATGATTAACTCACACTAAGTATCGACACACGTAGAATCATATTAAAGAATGTTGAAATCCTGCCTATCAGGATTGGTTTCAAGGATCAAACTCTTTTATCCAATCTTCTCTTCTCACTTAAAGAAGAGGATTTCACCTATTGGTTGGCTTGAAAAGTTCATTTGATGTATGGCAAGCCGTCTCACATGCCTTTGGTTTTGTTTCTGATAATCAAAAATTGTAACTGCATATTGAGTTACTGGAGTTGAACATGAAAGAAAACTGTTGCTAAGTTTCTTCAAGAAGCCAAATGAGTCTCGGATGAATTGGTCGCTGTTCGTGTTCTCTCCACTTCTGAGTTCAATGCCATCATTTATACGACTGTTCGGCCTGCTCTCTGTTCAGGATAAACAAGCAATTTTTTATGAACTTCATGGTCAACTTTCGGCTCATAAATTTTGCTTAACAGTGCTCGCAACAAGGTCCTTTGTCCTAATGTTGCTCAGAAGACCAATGGAGCCTTATCCTCTGCTTCTCAAATTCATAATGCTGCTAATCCTAGAACTGGCAATTTTTCTGGTGGAAACTTTGCTTGTGGTCAGCACGGTAATCGAAATAATAACTTCAGAAATGCAGGTTCAATAGAAGGAAAGGTCCTTGTCAAATTTACGGGTGGGGCAACCATACTGCAGATAAATGTCTTCGTAGGTACGTATGATGGATCACGTCCTCAGAACTTCAACAAGTTTACTGTATTCAATAATGGCTTTAATCAGAAGTTTACTCATTTGCTGCCCACTCATCCATTTCTTCTAGAATGATTGAAAAAACGTTTGGTAGTACATGGCTTCACCAAACAGCCTGCAGGTATTGATTATACTAAGATGTTTAGTCCAGTAATCAAGCCAACTGTAATCAGAATAGTTCTAGTTCTTGCCATTTCTTCTAGATAGTCCTTATGACAGCTTGACATTTCAAATGCCTTTCTGAATATTAAACTTGAAGAGGTCGTGTACATGCGTCAGCCAAAAGGATTTGAAAATAGTGTCTTTCCCATAATATACGCAGGTTACATAAATCGCTCTATATGGCCTAAATTTCGCCCTAGAGCTTGGTTCAACAGGCTGTCTTCTTTTCTTATTAGCGTTGGTTTTCAGGGGTCCAGGACTGAGAATTCTCTCTTTATATATAAAAACATTTATATGCTTATTTATGTGGATGACATAATTATCATTGGAACTCACAACTCAGTTGTTAAGCAGATCGCTTTTTCAGTTAGCAATGAATTTGCAATTCGTGATTTGGATTTGAGATATGAGGTGTAATTCTGTTACAAACAAAATATATGCAGGATTTATTGGATAGAACAATACCTGCGTTGAGATAGGATAACAATCTAATGTAGATTGGCTGGTTGCCCTGACGATAGAATATCTACAAGTAGCTGCTTAATTTATTCGGAGTCTAATCTCGTCTCCTAGTTTGCAAGAAAAAGGCTAATACTACTGCAGTACTGCTGAGTTAGTATAGATACAATCTTTTCTTCATGAATTGCGTATATCATCTCCATATTGATAATCTTGGAGCAACATATCTTTCTGCAAACCCAATATTTCATGACAGGATTAAACACATTAATTGAAATAGACTTTCACTTGTCCGTGACTTAGTGGCAATATGTTCTTATCTTCTCAGGATCATTGACTTATATGCTGACGAAGCCACTTTAAGAACGTTTTGAATCTCTCAGGAACAAGCTAAGGCTTTTGCTTGAGGAAGGCTATTGGAAGATATTTTGCAAGTCCTAGTTCATGTAGAAGTCTGTACACAAACTGTTAGGATCTTTTGGTGCTATAGTTCGAACTATATATAGATCTTGGCTGAAACTTCACAGGAATGACTTTAAGTGATGGACAATCGATTGTGTTATATAGCCTTGGATTTAAGGTTTCAGGTATAGAAACTTTTGTCAAATTTATGACGAAATATTAAATATAGTATATAAATTTCAAAAGAAAAAAATGAAGTGTTGAGTCACCAAACACATATAAATTATATAAACATATAAATAACAATAAAATATTATATTTCTAAAATCACTTCCTTATTTCTATTTTATCATGATTTTTATCTGTTTATTTTGTGCGGATTGATTTAACGACTTCAAACTATTCATGTTTTTGCAATGATCATGCTTCCCATAAAATCAATGACTTTGAATGTAATAAATTTAAATTTATGTTTAGATTTAACTATATTATAACTATCTAATAGAAATAAATATATTTTTAGTTTCCTCCAAAATTTCTTAGAATGCTCAATTTTCTTTGACAATATAATGATAATGATTCATTTGAAAAACTAACTAAACTAACCTCAATTATCATTTTCATGGGAAATCATTGTAGGACATAAATAAATTTGCATTCATACAAAAAGTAAGATGTACAAAAAAATGCAGCTAGTATGAACAATATTAGTTGTATCTTAGTTTAAGCATAGTTAGTGTGTGTGAGCAGTGGGTGGGTATCACAATTCACAAGTGAAGTGAGAAAAGGAGAAATACGGTTTTTATAACCTTTAGATGCTTGTTTGGTAATCGGGAATAGAGTGGTGGGAATGAGAATAAAAGTTTTATTCCTACATTATAATTGTTTGGTTAAAATGAATGAAGTGGGAATGAGAATGAAAATTTACACACAACTTCATTCCCACATAAAATGTGGGAATAAAAAATAAGAAATGGGAATGAATTTTTTTTCAAAATAATAATATATTTTATTTATTTATTATCTATTAACTACTTTTGTCATAATCACGACCACCACTATCACAACCACCACTACCACTACCGCCATTACGACGACCACCATCACAACTACAACCACCATTACCATCACAATCACCATCATAACCACCACCACCACCATCATCACCACAACCACTACCACTAATAACATCATCACAACCATCATCATTACCGAAATCATTATCGCCACCGCCACCAATAGAACCACCATAATCACTATCATCATTTTTGTTATTTTTATAACTATTATAGTTTAATAAAATTATTTTTTAATCATTATTTATATTTGTATACAAAATCAGATATTAAAAAATTTAAATTGCATTTTGATTTTTTATTAGTATTCCAAACACAATATTGGAATACAAATACCATTCCGATTCCTTAATTTTCATTCCGATTCCTGCATTCCCATTCTCATCACTTTATTCTTGATTATCAAACGAGCACCTTAGTTTCTAGTTCAAGAAACGAGGCTTGTATAATTTTTATTTTTTGAAGAAACTATAGATTTACCTATTTGAATTTCTCAATTATTTCATGCCACTGGAAAAAATGTGGATATGGGTTGGAACAATAGAAAAACACATTTAGTTTCTAACTTCTTATTGAATTTATATTTGAGTACCTCAGCTTTACCTAGACCTTTGTAACATGCATTAGAAAAGGGATCATGATATGACTATTATAGGTTTAATGGAAAAAATTGCCCCTAAACTAATATGATTTGGCAATTTTGAGCCTTTACTACTAATTTAGTTAATTGGATCCAAAAATATTTTTTTTGGCAAACGTTATCTTTATCCATTATTTTTAACTATCAAAGAGTCAATTCTTTGACCATTAATATTTCAATTTAAAAAAATAGTTAACGTAATCAAAATATAATCTACACAAGATTATATAGTGATTATTTGTTAGATTTTAAAACTAATAACACCCATAAAAAATTAAAAATACAAATAATCAAATAAAAAATAAAAATACATATATTGAAATAAAAAATAAAAATATAAACCATCGATTAGAAATGAAATAAAATATTCTTGCTCGCATTAACTAAAATTATTATCAATGAAAATTTTCAATTTTTTTCTAATCAAATAGAAATTCATGCTGATATAATTATTAAATTAATTAGATTAGAAATAAAATAAAATATTTAAATCTAGTATTAACTAAATTGCCGTTAATATCAATTTTCAATTTTTTTCTAATCAATTTTTGTTTATTAAATTCATGTTGACATAACCATTAAATTGACTAGATCAAAAATAAAATAAAATATATTAACCGAGATAGTAATTAATGTAAATTATTAATTTTTTTAATAAAGTATTTATGTTAAATTCATACTGACATAATCATTAAATTGACATGTCGGCATACTAACATATCTACTATATGAATGTAAACATTTTATTTTATTTCTAATAGAAGGTTTGTTCTTTTATTTTTTATTTAAATATAAATGTTTTTATTTTTCTTATTTGATTATTTGTAGTTTTAATTTTTTAGGAGTGTTATAATTTTAAAATCTAATGAATAGCCACTAACAATCTTATTTAGACCATAATTTGATTAAATTAACTAATTAAAAAAATAAAATATTAACGGTCAATTTTTTGACCATTAAAGATAAAGGATAATTAAGAATCATATTTGCTAAAAAAAAAAATAATTTGGGGTTCAATTAACCCAAATTGATAATAAAGGTTTAAAATTACCTCAAAAAGTAGTAGTTTTGAGGTAATTTTTTCTATTAAACTGACTATTATCTATGCCACCGCGCACGCGCGCCGGTGTGGTGGGGGGGATTAAAAATGGATCCAAATTGAAAAATAAAATAAAAATGATTGGTAAAATATTAAATGAACTTATATCACCAAACTCAATAAAATAAAAATGATTGGTAAAATAAAAATGATTGGTAAAATATTAGAATAAGAATCCAATTTTTAAAACCAAACTCAATATTTCATTTGCGAACAAAAATGTCAAGAAAAAAAAAAAAGTTTTGAAATTAAATGAACTTATATCACCGCCACCACCAGGGATCACCATCGTTGCCTCTATAGATTGATGACTACGATGTCTTGAACAACCCACCGCCATGACCATGAATCTCAGTTGGTGTTGATTAGGGTTTTAATTAAAAGAGAAAAAAGAGACTATCATTCGTTAACCTGCCCATTGCCGTTGCTGCAGCTAAATTTTATAATGTCTGAAAATGTTTTCCAATGTAGCTTAAAAAGTTAACATCTATTTTCTTTTTGAGAATGGAATGGAATAAATATATCATAAACAAACTTTTTTCTTCTTTAGGATGTCTTAGCAGGAACAACTAGGGCATCTCTAATGTTCATTTATCAAAATAATTACTCTATTAATCTAAAATAACATAATTAATCAAGCACCAATTATGTCATTATATAAAATATTTACAACCACATAAACAGTTCAAATAACAAAAGCAATAGACTAGCTTGCAACAAAACAAACAACTAGTGAGCATTTTGAGTATCATTAATTCACAAACAGATGATGCTGTATATAAAGTTAGCTTTCGTTATCAAAAACAAAAAAGATAAAGCTGATCAGAAAGAATCAAACAAAATAATGGTGATTTTATTTTCTACATGTACAAAACAATTACAGTTACAACTAGCAGTCCAATATTGTGGCTGATCAAATGCTATATAGCATGAGTGCTGAACTTGAGAAAAATTATGTAAGGAAAGGAAAAGAAATCTACAGCTATGTTTGCGAGAAAACACTTCCACAAGACAATTTCATGATTCATCACCTTGGTGCATAGTTACAACCAACCTATCCAAGGAGCAATTCTCTTTGACAAGATTTCCTCACCTTGGTGCATTGTTAAAACAAACCTATCAAATGAGCAGGGGAGGTTCCTTCCGTCTGCTTCAGACAACAAAAGCTACGCATTAACATTCGTCATTCTTCTAGACCTAGGAAAGAGCCTTTCCCTAAAGATATCCAGAGACATCTGAATTAAGGGTTTCAAGATGAACTTTGCATCACAAGGAGCTGCTGTGCGCACTCTGGTTTGTACACAGACAAGAACAGTCTGGTTCAGCAGAATCCCTCTTAACGAGCCGTTTGTCACGATTAATCATCAGCTGAATAAGAGGCAGTTTTTGTGCTACTTCACGCCATATTTCAGTCACAGTTCCATTTGAATGGCTGTATTCAAAATACCGCTTCACCTGAATCACACAATTCAAACAGCAACATTTAAAATATAAGCAACTGATTTTACAACAAGTTTTGATCAATAAAGAAATGATTTCAACACATTAGATAAAAGATGAAGGAATGAATGGAATATAAGCATAACACTGTAAGACTTTAAAAGCTACAATTCTTTTATTCCATCTTTGTTCAGCAAGCAAGTAATGATTCTTGTATAAGCATATAACTGTAAGACTTTAAAAGCTAAAATTCTTTTATTCCATCTTTGTTCAGCATGCAAGCAATGAAAAAAAAAAAAAAAGCATAAAATTATGCTTTTTAATTTGCTTTCATACTGCCAAGAAAAAAGAAAAATCAGTTTCTACTACTATCGTGCTCTCTCATCCCATATCTATTTAACATAGACAAGAATTCCAAATCCCTACTTCTAAGAAAAAATTCATCTTTTATTCTGACGAAAAACCAAAAACAATAACTGTGACAAATAAAGAACAATGGCAATAAAATGAAAGATTAAGAAGAAAGCAACAAAGAATGACATCACCTTCAGCAATAAAGAAGTTTGGATTATAAAATTGCGAGTAGAATTTACCTCTCTCAACTCTCTCTGATATTCCAGAATTTTCTCAGTGGATACTGCTCTCAGCATTCTAACCAAATATCCTGGCTTTAGAGAAGACTCAGTGTCCACAAAAATTGCAATCTTTCTGTAGTCTATGACATCTTCGAAAGGTAACTCAATACTATCACTGACTATCAACGGAACACACAAGCTAACAATGGAATCAAAAAGTCGGCAAGCTGATGGAGTATCACCAGCAGGATTCAAACAGAACTTTGAAGTATGCATGCCACGCGTAGCTGTGCGTCGATTCTCCCTCGATTGTGTGCCATGTCTTATTACAACATCCTCTTCTTTTTCAAGCATTTGAAAAAGCAAATCACGAATTTTTCCACCCTGTAAACGCAAAGCATTCAAAGAAAACATAAGATCATGAATAACAGTGATCTAAATATCAGTGCAGGTGATATTTTTCTTTCAATAAAACATCTGCATATGCCATGCTCTATATCACCTTTATCTATTCCAGGCAGTACAACGAACAGTCCCTTTAAACAAAACAATTAGTACCACGAGTAATGCTAATGGCAATCTGACCACTGGTGAAATATAAGCATCTATTTCCTCGCATGGAACCACAGTGCATAAATCTCACTACTGATTTGGAGACCCTTAAAGCAACCGCCCTTGGCACTATTTCACAATGCATCCATAACAATCTTATCTTTCAATTTCTGAAAGTCATAATAAACATTTCTCCAGCAAGTTTTTACAATCTTTAAAAACTATCGTCTTTCCTATACAGTATACACCCACGAAGAATGAAAGACATTTTTAATAATTCTCCAAACCAATACCCTTCTTTCAACCAAACAAGGGCATAACAAGATTGCTTCTCTAATTTACTACACGACTAATGCTAAGAACAGTAGTCCTCAATGAAACTACCATCACTAAGTTTAACTTTCAATTTCTCAAAACACACTATATATTTGGTTTCTCTCAGCAACTTTAAGAAATAAAAAAACTTACATCTTTCCGGTACCGATTTCCCATGAAAAACAAGAGAGTCTTCCGATCCTCCACACCAATATCGCCACTATAAACATTAATCCTATGCGAATAGGGCACGATCACATCCTTAACCAAGGACCCTTGATCCCTTCTAACCCGCCCGAAATCCGACAATAACAGAACTGCATTCTTGACCCGGTCCAAGATCCGATAGAGTGCATTCGGATCCCCAGCAAAAATTACATGATCCCTCCCATTATTCCTCCTCCAATACTCCTGCTCCTCTAACCACTCCACCAGCTCGCCTTGCATCTTCTCATCACTGTAAACAGGATCCGACGCGGGTACTGTCCCGACCCGAACAACAGGGTTCACTATCAAACTGAGAGAAGAAAAGACCGGAACATAAAACAAGTCAGCCTCCTCCGGGTCATTGACTTTAACCACAGGTGAACCAACCCGGTCCGAATCGGGTCGGGAAAGATCCGAATACAAGTACCATTCGCCCATGTGTTGGTGACCAGGATAACTCACCTTAGACACATCAGAAGAGCCACGCGCCAACGCGTGATTCTCGATTATTCCAGTAGTGAACTTCTTGGGCAGATTGTACATGAAGACTCTAACTTTCCTCTCGTTTTCCGTCACTTTCACGGGAAATTCTTCGAAATTTTCTCGAGAAATTTGCTCGGCGAAGAGAGATGAAGTTGTGGAGGAGACACCGGCAGTTGCGGCGGTGGTGGAGGAGCTGAGGAAGGTGTTGAAGAAAGCGTAGATGATGAGGATTGTGAATGCGGAGAAAATAAGGGTTTGCTTTAATAGAGAGGATTTTCGCGCCATATTGTGGGGAAATTTGCTGGAATTTGGAGATTTAGGGTTTCTGGTTTTCGATCTCTCACTCATTGTTTGGCAGTGGTGGAGCAAGGCTACCTGAGTGCCGGAGCACGGTTATAATGTGCAGCTGATGCGTCAGAGGATGCCACGTCTTCCGGTGCTCTTAAGGAAATTAAGAGGTGACTTAGGGGAAGGAAAATCAATGCATCCAGTGTAGTCACTTTCTTAATAATTAGTTAGTTTTTTTACCTCTAGCTTAGTTGCAGTAAGGTTAGAAATTGTCTTTTTCTTTTTCTTTTTTTTTTTTACCATTAAAAATAGCATATGTAAAAACTGATAGAATTATGAACATTTATTTGAAATTTAATTAAATACATTAGTTTGTTTTTAATAAAATGTTTGTTAATAAATATTATTATAGTAGATGAATTTAATTAAGGAATAATGATTTAAAATAAACATGATTTGTGTTAATTTTTATGAATTTGGTACAAATATTTTTTTAAAAAAAGTTTAAGATTCCAAGGGTCCATGATGGAGAGTGATGATGGTGATCTTAAGAGTATTTTCTTTCCTAAGATAATGATATTACGGGAATTAGTTATGTTGCTTAACGATTTTATAAAGAAAATAGCATAGACACATCAAGAGGTGTTAATGACATTCTTGAAATAACCGAAATCAAATCAACTTTTGATTTCGATTTTTATTTAAAAAAAAAAAACCTTTCTTCAAACATTATTAATGTGAGAAACAAGTTTTATATATATTTCCTTCAAGATAAGGTTACCAAATGACTTGTTCATCACATTTTAATGTTTTTCCTCAGTCAATGGACCTATAAGGCAATAACTTAGTTTTTTTTTTTTTTTTTAATTAATTTATGTATGACTGAACCTTTTTTTTTTTTTTTTTTTTTCTGTAAATGATCTTGTTTGTCAATCCTCGTCATCAAGACTTGAAAGCACAAACCCACCAGTCTTTTTGTCTCACCTAAGCACATGCCATAACAGTGTACTACCGACACTAATCCTTGAAAAGATCTTGACTCAAAGAGGTTAGCAGCATCACAATTTCTGCCTTCACTCATTTACTGTCCATTTTACAGCATGAAATGTTGGGCAGAGGAAAAGAGAACGTTTGATGATTTAGGATAGCAAATCGCCAATTTCCTGACCATTAGAACCTTGCGTGTAATGTGTGAGGCTATGGAAACGTAAAGAAAAGTTGAACTGGTTTCTGAAATTTCAACTTTTCTTCATTCCTTCTTGGACATGTTTTCCATTGTCTAAATTGAGGGCTTATGAATGTTCATCAAAAGTGTTAGCAAATGTTATAAGAATTTTTTGTTAAAATAGAATTAGTATAGCATATCTGAGCTCTTTCGGGCGAAAATGCCAGCCCCATATAAAGAATGCGTCATATCAACAAAGAGTGGAAACTGTAAAAATGCAAATAAAGTTACAGGAACAGAGGAACCCAGAGAAATAGGGACAACAATCCATGCCAATCGATGGTCAAGCACAATGCAAAAGGTTGCAGCAAATGCTACAAGCATAGCTGCTATGGAGCAAAAGAGCGTTGCAAGACCTACTACCAACCTCTTCGGCAGGGACTCGACGAAATCTTCTTCTGCGTAACGAGAAGTGAGTATGGAAAGGAAGATTAATATAGAAGTAACTGAAGAGAACAGAGCAAATGCATCTGCTACGGCAAAGACTATGAAAGATGTAGAATCAAGAACAATTGGAATGCCAGTTTTGTCGTCATTGCCTCCTGGTACTGTGAAAATTGCAGCAAACATCACAGTAGTAATGAGTGTAGCAACGAGCATGCACGATGAAGCAGTATTCTTCATCCATTTCTCTCCTTCTCTAACCAGCCCTCTATGTTCTTCCGTAAATAACATTCGAGGTGTTCTACCATTCTTGTCTCTCATTTCCTTTAATGAAGGCTGCACATTCTTCTCAACTTCCTGCAGATGTTGCAAAGAAAACCGAAGTAATTAGGAAATCAATAATGCTGTAGCTTCGTATTAAAGAAGCATCTTATTTAAAAGCTTAAGTTGTTTGGTGAGACCTTAGGATTCGAACTTGTATAGGCTCATACTACCTTGTGCTTAATTAATTAGAAGAGAAAGTGAGGATGGTAGGATTCGAACTTGCGATCGTTTGGTCATCAAAACTCTGATATCATGTCAAGAGACCATTTCATCTAAAAACTTAAGCTAATAGGTGACATACCAGGACATAATTTATATTATTCTCTAACACTTCGAAATAAAAATATGGCGAAGTTGTGAGTTCAGTACAAACCTTGAACCACAATAATTCTCTCTGCATCTGAAGGGCTGCACCAGAAATAACATTAAGTTTATCCACGGGTGCGATGATTCCAGCTAAATGCAATATGTTGGCATTGTTAATATCTTTATAAGCTGTAATCATATCCTTGTGTGCTCCAATATCATGAATGAGGTTAAAGATCTTTTCTTGGCGATGCACGACGGCGATGTGAAAGATGCTTCTACTTTGCTCATTAACTTTCCATACTAAATCAGGATAAGAGCGTATAAGTGCAGTTATAAACTCCACAATTCCAAACTCTGCCGCCGCGAAGAGTGGCTGTGAAGGGCTTGCAAGTAAATCAGCAATTTGAGAATCATCCAATAGCAGAACTTGTTCCCACAATAGCTTCACCAGCTCAAGAACTTGTGCGTGCATCAACTTTTTGTCATAAACTGCCTTGATTCCTGGGACTATATAAGAAAGTAACTCAGGAAACGAACTTATTAACGTGAACTCAATGAATTTATTATATATATAGGCATAGGAATCAGCATACCATTCATTTGTATTGCACGGAAAAGTTGTCGCACCAAGCTGACAGATTCTGTCAAGATTCAAGAACCCAAATTGGTAAGTAATTCTAAATCAAATTTCAGTAACTGACAAAATCTCTACCAATATAAGCTAATAAGATTGAGACCCCAAAAAATTCTCTGTTTTAAACAGACAAGGTTAAGATCCATCATCCATATGCCTGTATGTTGATGAAAGCTTGACTAAAATGCATTGGAAAAGTGACTACAAGTTTGAACTTAATAAACAGACCTTGATCCCTCCTGTGCATATGGCTTTGGAAGATGCTAGATGGGCAGCTACATTTGGCAGGCACTTCCACAAAGAGCCCTAAGGAATATTTAAACTGCAACAGTTAATAATCACAAACCAGAAAATACCAACAGTTGAATTCTGAAGATTCAAAATATTAGAAGTATCAAAATATATGTATATTTTAAACTATTACAAATCACTAACAACAGAAAAAAATACTCACATGGATAAATAAATCTATGCCAAATTCCAAGCCCACTTTTGCTGGCAAATGCTGAAGGCTTTCGAGCTAAAACATGAAGTGCTGTCTCCCCATTTAGATCTCGCTGAATGGCTAATTCTGGTTGGTGTTGAATGATGCTCAAGGCTACATCTATGAATACACAAATAGGTTTGGTTAGGACAGGCCCTGATCTATATGCTTTTCATCGAGTAACAGGAGCTATTTCTTACCGAACAAATCGGTGCTGATGGTGGCAATGAGCAGCCCAATGTAGTCCTCTCGTGTTAAATATTCAAATAAAGTGACAGAGCATAGATACCAGACCATGTCCTTGTGTCCAAATAATGCAGCTATATAAAGAGGTGTCACTCCTTTGTTATTCCTCATCATTAGCAAACTTCTATTCTTGCTCACCATCGTTTCTGCTATTTTGGTGACTCCTGATGCAGCTGCATAACAAAGAGCTGTATTATTGTACTTGTTCCGTCAAGCTAAATCTGTTGGGTTCATCAACTTGACCACCTCCTCAACAAACTTGGTGTGTTTGGCCCCTGCTGCGATATGTAGAACCGTGTCCATTTCTTTAGTGATCCTAACATTTACAGCACCTGGATGGGATTTAAAGAACTCATCAGCCTTTTCCCAGTCACCCTTCATTGCAGCTTGGTATAAAGGTGCGTATAAGGTAAGCCGAGTGGTACTTCTTTTTTCTGTCATGAAATAAATCAATCATTAATTCTCGTATGTTGATGCATAATACAATTACTGGCATCTAATTATACAATCTATGCTTATTGTCTACTGACCTTTCACGAGACTATGTGCAATCCGCGGAGGAGCTGGAAGAGGCGCAGGTGCAGGTTTGCTATAAAGATCAAAGCTAGCTGGTGCCGAAACAGACTGTTGCTTGGTCAAGCCAATTGTCACAGTCCGCTCTGAGCAAAGAGTTGCAGGTGCTGAATTGGGGAATGCATTGAAAAACGATTGCAGCCGCTGAAGAGACCCAGGTGCATTGTGTTTGTGAAACTGAACGGTAGCCGGTGCTGAAACAGAACTCTCATGATCATTTATGTCAATTGACACAGACTGTTGTGAGTGCCGGGATGCAACTGATGGGGCTGCTGGACTAGGAGGAACCTTGGGCAACACCTGCTTTTCCTCTACGAGATGCTTATCAACTGCAGTTTCTGGAAGAGAAGGCAAGGACCGAGGGAGTTGATGCGAATAAGAAGTTGGATATAATTTCCCAGATGTTGAAGGACTACTTTCGATACTCGGACCAGAAAACCTTTCTGGGAAACATGAAGAGATTGAAGGAGATCTTTCCAACTTGATTCGACTCATAATGTCTCACAATTCTTCAAATTGCAAATAACACAAAAGAAGAAGTAAGACACAACAAACAATCAATGCATATATATATACACACATATATCAAAAGATTCAAATGTGAAAGCATATCAACAAATAAACAAAACAAGTAAAGAAAAGAAAAGAAAGCACACATAAGGTACGCAAATGCAAGTAATAATTCCAAAAAACGAAGCTTCTTTACACTGCAAAAAGGACCCCCATGTCCCATCTGCGATTTGAAATTGTGGTTTCAACGGGGATTGCTAACTTTCCTGGAATCATAGTATTGACCTTCAAGGTTGGTCCACTTGGAGAAAATTGTTCACTGATCGCAGAAGAATGTGAAATTGTCTGATTTCATGAGTTCTGATAAGTTTATATTGACCTATTTTACTAACGCTAAACGTCAATAGCATTGACACGTTAAAATTCCAAACCATTCTCACAAATCATACCATGTCCAACAAATCATGTCTATCTCAGTATGATCCAAGCACGATAGGTACCAGTACCGAAATGATTTCAGAGATCAAAAGTCCATGTACGTGGGGTACCTAGTACGTATCAATTCGCCTTAAATTTTCTACCTCGTGCAAGACTTTGTAGTTCACATCATTGTCTTAGTCTCTTAATCATAAATGAAACAATTTCAGTTTCGAAATCAAGCCATTGTTGGGATTGCTTCACTAGCACGCATACAAGCAACCGTAGAGCAAAATTGTCAGCACTCATTTGGTCAACTTGTTATATAATCCAATAATTAAATTTTGCTAACCAAAATCTACTTGAATAATGCAAATAATTTTACACGTTGGTATTTTACAAGTAATGGAATATCCCTACTACTTGGAAATGGCCACGCTAGATCTTTTTAACTAACACTTGAGTGGACAAAATATATCTTTTTCATAAATATTGGATGTTATTGGACTTCTCTACCCTAAAACTTAGATCAAAGAGTGGATTTTTTTTCTCACTTTTATAAATAAATATCAATTTGTTTTACGAATAACCCAACAAAAAAGTCAATAATAGAATAGACTATACGCAGTGAGTCAATGCAAAAGGAGACAAACATGGGTAAAGGAAGGAGTGAAGAGAAATTTCTCGGTAAAAATGGATTGAAATTGATAATTAAAAGGCTTCTCCTTGCACCCCATCTTGCCGACTTCTAGAGTAAGCAAAAACGCGTTCTCCTTGATTTTTTATTATTATTTTTTTTTTATAAGGAAATGAAGATATAGAACTTCTGGATCCCAAAGGAAAGTAAAGATAAATGGGACAGAAACAACGAGGAAAGTCGAGAACAGGAAAACGAGTAGCCCACAGTAGCTCAGCATAAGTGCGGTTTGTAAATAGTAGCTAGGTACTTCACACGAGGGAAAACTTCCGTTTGGTCCTGAACATATTATCCAAAAAAAAAAAAAAAAATTATTTGATTCTAAATTTTAAAAAATTCAATTTCATCCTAAACCTATCCTTGGTTCTGCAAGATTTCTTTCAACAGCTATTAAGAGGAAAAAATTCGAAAAATCTCCGAAATTCTATCCCAGTATCTAAACTTGTTTACATGTACAAAGTAACTGACGATCATTTTTTTGGTAATTTGAGAAGATTAAGGACTATTGTAAATTAGTTAATTTACATTGACAACGGTAGGATGAAGGAAAATGTTATACACTAGAGGATGGATTTGGAATATTTTCAAATTTTTTTGGTTTTAGACAAAATTGAGAAAACTACATCGAACTAAATTGAAGTTCTCTCTTCATTAGTGTCTAGAAGGGTTCATGGACCGGCAGGAATGGGCTGGGCTGGAGAATTTGGGCCTAACTAAATCTTCTAGGACTCTAAGCTCTGGCTCAGTCCAGTTTTAAGCCTGTTATTGAAGTTGGGCCATGATTCTTGAAATTTGTTATTGTGACAATTAAAAAGGATTATTTTTTTTTCAGGATTAGGAAATTTACTTCAAAAATTAAAATAAGCTATTTAATTTGTAAATAAATAAAATCTCTAAATAAGTAGTAATAACTAATTTTGTAAATTCTTATGCTTTCCATTTTATTTTATTTTTTCCTCTACACCTGTTGAACAGAGGGTTGGTGGAAATGGATGGTCATTGGTCAACTGTGGCAGTAGGTAAGCTTTAAGAACAAAATGGAACCATCAGGTAAGGCTATGTTCAATAACCAAAACCCCCAAAACAAAAATATTGAGAGAACTTCAAGAAATGGGCCTTTACGCAACTGCAATGGAAATCATTGAAGCACACACAAGCTTATCACCGCCGGAGTTTTTCACAGTTGCCGCTGTTATGGTGGTGGTTTACAAGATAGTTTGCAGCATGTTTGTGGACCCGGAAGAGTTTGACAACAAGCCCATCAATAGCAATAGTATCGCCACCAACCAACCACCACCACAACAGCCACCAACAATTCAGGAACCAGTTCAATTAGGAGATGTTACTGAAGAAGAATTGAGAGCTTATGATGGTTCTGATCCTAATAAGCCTCTTCTCATGGCTATCAAAGGCCAGATCTATGATGTCTCTCGCTCCAGGTAATCTCCCTCTCTCTCTCTCTCTCTCTCTCTCTCTCTCTCTCTGTCTGTTGCTGCTATTCTTCTTGTTATATAAAATAAACATTTTCGGTGGCAGAGAAATTTCAAATTAGCACCGAATGAATTACACAATTTTCAATTGAGTCCCAAATTAAAAATCAATTTGGTTCTAAAGGTTTTAGAAAATTCTCAATTGGGTCCTTTTATCAATTTCCATATCTTTTATTTTTCATTTGTTAATGTACAAGAAATATGCACATTAGGTGGATTAATATTAAGGAACATTGGTTTCAATTGATAAAATCTTTTGTTTTGGGACTCAATTGAGAATAAGTATAGGTCAGGGACTAAATTGAATTTTCCCTTAATAATATACTGCATTATCTCGACACTGTAATGCCACACATTTTTGTTTATGATTTGGGCTAAATTCAATAGAATTAATCCTGACTTAGAGAAAAAAAAAAAAAAAAAGAATTGCAAGAAGTGGATTGATCAGAAACATAAATGATTTTTATGACTGAATTTGTATGGCTGAGAAATCAATTTGGTCCTAAAGGTTTTAGATATTTCTCAATTGGGTCCTTTTATTAATTTCCGTATCTTTATTTTTTATTTGTTAATGTATAGGAAATCTGCACATTAGGTGATTAATATTAAGGAACATTGGTTCCAATTGATAAAATCTTTGTTTTGGGACTCAATTGAGAATGAGTATATAGGTCGGGTACTAAATTGAGGTTTCCCTTACAAATATATTGCATTATCTCGACGCTTTTATGCCACATTTTTGTTTATGATTTGGGCTCAATTCAATAGAATAAATCCTGACTTAAGAGGAAAAAAAAAAAAAAAGAATTGCAGATGGTGGATTGATCAGAAACAGAAATGACTTTTATGACTGAGAAATTGTTTGGAATTTAACTTGTTGTGCAGGATGTTTTATGGTCCTGGTGGTCCATATGCACTGTTTGCTGGAAGGGAAGCTAGTAGAGCCTTAGCACTCATGTCTTTCGACCCACGAGACATTAATGGGAACCTTGAAGGTTTAAGTGAATCTGAGCTTGAGGTTTTACAGGACTGGGAATATAAATTCATTGAAAAGTATGTGAAGGTTGGGCAGCTTGTGGGCACTCATCAAGCCGCTAATGGTGATAAAGTTGAAGAGTGAGAAAGATGAAGGAAATCAAGAGCAATGAAAGCTGACTTTAAGCATGGTTTTTTATGGTTACCAAGTATATAGCAGAAGCGTATGCAATACATTATTTAGCAGAGGCATGTATTATATATAGATGAAGAGCCACTTGCTGAACATAAATGGTAAGTTTAAACCGAATGTAGCTTTTAAACTGCACCCACTTGTTATGAAATCATAATTGATTATTTGGATTTGCCGAATTTCATTAGCTTAGTTTCTTTAATCGGTTTCGTTTTCTTACAACCAATAGTGATTCAATCGAGTAGGTGGAGGTTCTAGGTCCTATAAGTGGAATAACTAAAACAGTAAGAACTTTTTTGCCTTATTGGATTCCCAGTTTCCGGCTGCATAGGAAAATTCCAAGTAGCTTTTCTGTTTGTAGGTCTGAAATCAAGTGTTGCTTGTCTTTCTCAGGATCTTATTTTTTATTATTCAAGGGAAGTTTCAGCAGAAACATATGATATCATGATTGAAAACAGTTGGAAGTGGAACTAACAAGACCGGTTTGGTTTGGTTTGTTAGTTTGTTTAGGTTAGAATAGTAAGTACCATCCATCTTGTTCATCGTTAAGTAGCACAAAGTTGTGAGTTTGTCTTTCCAAATATTTTTTATCCTTGGGGAAATGAAGCCAGAAGTTAAGTCATTTGCCCATTGTTTGCCTAACGAGTACCATGCATCTTGTTCATCATTAAGTAGCATCAAGTACTTCTGATTTGATATTGCCAAATATTTGGCTGCCCTTGGGGAGATGAAGCCAAAAGTCCAGCCATATTTCCATTGTCTTTGGAGTTTCACTTTGCTCTTGTCAGCCTAATACTTTTTTACCTGCGTGCGTTTTCCAATGTGCAAGATCTTGTAGTACTTACCAATGAGGCCCTATCGATTAGTATTATATAGAAGAAATCAATTCTAGACACTAAAATAATTTGATTTGCTCTTCATAGATAAACTTGGGATTTGCGATCCCAGGTAAGATTGGTTCAGGATCATGGGATCCTTTTGTATCAGATAGGAAAGATAGGAAAAGCTGCTGCACAAGATGTATTTCTAAGTAATTACCCCATAGATCCTATATCTATCTATATGAAGAAGAAATCGTGTAATGAAGGGGATTCTTATTTGTGCAAATGATATTTCGAACTTGGAACGAGCATGAAGAAATAAACTATACTTATTTATCTTTTGAGAGTAGATGGGGAGACTAAAAGAGGGTCGTGTTATGGCAATGTTGGCTGATGTTGGTTTTGGTTTTGCCTTGAAGTCTCGAATAATTTTATAATACATCAAGAGTAGCTAGTGATATGTATAATAATTACTCTATAGACTCACTTTGAAGAGAGAGATAGACATAAAAAAGAGAGAACAAAAAACAAGAGAGAGAAAATAAAAAAATTTGAACGGACGTGAAAATTTTCTTATCATTTTTGGTGAGTATGGATATAATTTCACTATTTTTTTGTTTATCTATCTCTTTTTTCAAAGTGAGTTCATGGAGTAACTATTATATATACCACTAATTACTTTTAATGTATTATAAAATTTCTCCTAAAGTCTCTACTCTTGAATCTTGTAGAGGTAAAGAAATGAGGCAAGACTCAAGGCCATATGTGATTTGGCCCATATTTTTTCAATTATGAAGGAAAATGACAGAAACAGAAACCTAGAATGAATTGATTTTTCAATGCAAATTAACGGAGAGAGCAAAACAGAGGCTATCCCTTTACAAAAATAGGATCCATTTTCTTAATTAAGAGGATGTTGATTGAAATATTAATGCTCATAAGGCACTTTTTTAAGGCTGAGGCAGAGCCCAGAGCTTAGCCCTCAAGTTGGCCTTGGTTTTTAGTTAGACCCCATCGTATACAGGCTTTGCCTTTGCTTTTCCTTTTTCTTCTTTGAATTTAAGTTTAATAACAACAACAATAATAATACATGATAGTAGTAATTGATGAAATTTGTAAAACAATAATATAATCGAATAATTGAATAGATTTAACTTTAGAGATTGGTTGGTTGATTTTTTAAGTTCTTAGGCTCACACCTTGGGGCAACGTTCAAGATAATTTACAAAATCTTAAATATATCAAATTGATTTTTAAATTTAATTTTAATTAATGCATAAGCTGGTTTGATAATACTTTAATGACATATAAAAAAATCAATGTGGAGGGTGAGTTTTTAAACATAATCTTAATTGATATGCAAACTGATCCGAAAATGTCTTGACGTCAAATTAATCTTAATTTATATGTAAGTTAATATGAGAATACCTTAAAGTCAGATAAAAAAAAATAGAACAAATTGGCAGATATGATTAGATTTTCACCATTTTTTAATTCTTTTAACATCAGCAATAACTTCAATGACATTTTTTTATATATGTTTTTGTTCTATAATCCTGCAAGTAGCTAGTTTGAATCTCAATTATTGTCTTTAATGTACATACTTCAAATCTTTAATTTTACCAGTATATATATAGTCTCCACATGTTCAGAAAACAACTTTCAGTTCTGTAATGGCTAAATAATACTAATAATAATAAATAAATAAACAAACATAAAAACCTCATAATTATAATACGTAAAAATCTAATCCTGGAACGGCTTCTTATAATCAAAGCGATACTCACAGCCACAACAAACGTTACCAACATCATCCAACAGACAATAACACGAAGGTACGTACATCTCTGTATCTCCCTAACACGAGTTTTTAAAAAAAGGATAATTATCATGCAATTTGTAATATAGTATTTTTTTAATAGAATGAGTAAAAAATACTATACGTCGGCGACTTTATTCTATATTTAATAAATTGAATTGAAATATGCTATTATTATTATTATTATTCTGTATCATCTCTAACTACCAACTTATTACGCGCTTTCCTATCTATGGACCATTGCCCGTCAAACTTGAACAAACTCCATCACGGGCTTCCAAGAAAGAGGTTTAGTTTCATCATCCTCGACTTCTGTATTATAATTAGCATAGTCGGTAAAAATTAATACATCTTCTCAGCCATGTTTTTCTAATCTTTCGCTTCCTGATGCGACTTTCATCTAACTCTCTTCAATCTCCTGAAAGCCTGAAATTGGATATCCTTGAGTGGTTTCTCGACTTCTCCGTGGCTTGAAGAACACAATCTCTTGGCAGGTGTAAGTTATTATTGTTTATTTTTACATGAAGTTGGTTCTTGTGAGGATTTTCCTCGTCATTTTTTTTTTTTTGAGTATAGTAATTTATCATTTCAATTAATTAATTAGCTGCCACTCAAGTGATTCTGTCCATAAGATAATTGTTATGCACTACTGACCGTTAGATTCGATATTAGAATTTACTGTTTTGTTATTTAGCCTTTTATTATTTTTTCTATCAACTTCAACAACCAGTAAAAAGCCAAAGTTCAAAGAGGTACGTAAAAAATACAGCGAAAGCACAAAAGAGTAGTTCGCTGGTTCAAACCAAAGGCTTTTGATCATCTCCCTTGTACAATTCCTATAGTAGACAGTCCAATTTCGGAAGACGAAGATGCCGCCGATAAAAAAGAATCTGAAAAAAGAAAAGGATATGCGAAACATAACAGATGTTGATCAGGTAATTAAGGAAAAAAACTGCTTCATCCATAACTCAAATTATATATATATATATATATCACCTCTTCATAATATTTGAATCATAAGACCTTCAAATAAAAAGTCTTAATTATTGAAGTATCCAATTAATACTTGATAGGTATATCGAACAAATTTTGATGGAAAAGTTTTGAAATAAAATTTAACTTCTCAAATTCTTATAGGCTCCATTGGCAAGGTCATAGCTTTGCAAATTCATTTTATATTTTTCTTTGTTTATTTTAAGTTTCTTTTTTTTTTTTTTATCAAAAAATTATGCTAGTTTTTGAATAATAGTGGGGTGAAAGATTTTATTCTTATGTTACTAAAACAACAAAAGGGTCCTGATCTTTTATAATGCATGTATTGTAAAACACAACCAATGTTCTTATACACTTTAATCCCTTTCCACTAGAATTCCAACCTTTTTTTTTTAGACTTGTTGATAAAAAATACTATTTTTTGTCCCAAAAAAATTATTCATTTTGAGTACTTTTCATATAAATTAAATAGATTACAAATTGTTATGTCATATTAGCATCATTTATTCATATTTTTTAAAAAATTCTCTTTTTTTTGTATTTTTTTATAAAAAAAGTGACTAGACAAACATTTTGGGACAAATATATATAAGTAGAAAGATAAAACATCTTTTTGGGACAGATGGAGTAAAATTTAAAAGCATTAATAATGAAAAAAAATAAATTAAAAATAGATCATTTGCATATTCATAAAACGAGGAAAAGAGTTAATAATACAAGTCTTAGAAACATATCTGCTAGGAATTTTACAATGGGAATAGTAGTTAATTTTGTGACACAATAATTGAAAGCATTTATCAATTAATTGGTCATAAATCACCACAATATTGAATCCTAATTTCAGGTTGGTAAACGAGCAATTGTAACTTCACATGGTGTCCCTCGTGAAGAGTACCTTGCAATTTTAGCAGAAAGGGATTCCCTCTTGGACTTGGTAGCTAAAAAGGACGAGGAAATAAGACACCTTAAGGAGCACCTAAATGCGAAAAATGAGGAGGGAGTTGGTAAGGACTTGGTAGGCCGAAAAGATGAGGAAATAGGACTTCTTGAGAAGCAATTAAATGTGAAAGATGAGGAAATTAAGAGGCTCGGTAATGCTATTGAGACTGCCATGGACAATTTAGGCCATGCACTGGTGCTTGTAAGAGATCTGAAGGTGTCCAACACTCCCAATCATGCGGAAGCTGAGACGTCAAAAAACATCTTGGACAAGTTTCTATCTGGGAGACTAGGATATCCTTGGCAGGAGGATGTTCTAGGCAAGTTTCCATCTGGGACACTACCGTCATCTGGAGGATATCCAAGGCAGGAGGATGTCCTAGGCAAGTTTCCATCTCGGAGACGACCGTCATCTGGAAGATCTCCAAGGCAGGAGGATGTCCTAGGCAAGTTTCCGTCTGGGAGACCACCGTCATCTGGAGGCTATCCTACGCAGGTGGATGTACTAGGCAAGTTTCCATCTCGGAGACGACCGTCATCTGGAAGATATCCAAGGCAGGAGGATGTCCTAGGCAAGTTTCCGTCTGGGATACCACCGTCATATGGAGGCTATCCTACGCAGGAGGATGTACTAGGCAAGTTTCCATCTGTGAGAAGACCGTCATGGAGGATATCCTAGGCAGGAGGATGTCCTAGGCATGTTTCCATCCGGGAGACTACGCCACCTTGAAGATGATCACCAACTGTTAGAATAAAAAATCGGAGAGGACAGCAAAGGAAACCACATGGCGATTCTCATATCATTGATATTGTATTACTCTCCTAAGAAATGAAGCCACATTATTTGGATTTAAATTTAAACTCATACTGGATATAAATATATTTCTAGGAGTTAGGTTAACTCCAAAACTCACATCATTAATATATTACATTCATGTACTGAAAATAATTAAAACTAATTCTTCAAAAACCTCTTTTACATTATTTTAGACTTCAAAATTATTTCCAACACCAACCATCAAAGATTCAAGAGCCAGTTCAGTTAGGAGAGGTTACTAAAGAAGAATTGAGAGCTTATGATGGTTCTGATCCTAATAAGCCTCTTCTCATCACTATCAAAGGCCAAATCTATGATGTCTCTAACTTCAGGCCAATAGTGAAATTTCTCTTAAATTAAAACTTTTTAGAAAAACAAATATTTTATCACACATATTATATTTAAATACTCAGATAATGAATTTCAGAATTAGTATATTACGATCTTATATTTAATCCATATTTCTATGAATAATTTCGAAAATTTATCCTATTTTCAAAGAAAGTAGTCTCATTTTTATGTTCATATAAGAGTATTTATTAAAGATGCTCTTATAACTCTACATCCTACTAATTAAGAGTCTCGATCTCAATAATATCTTTTTATAGAAAAACTTAATCTTGAATTTGTTACAAGATTCATGCCCTACACCATAAAAATTTCTTGGATCGGCCTAAGCCTTCTTGCATCTGTTTACCATTTCAATTTTATTTTACCCATTCTATTTGTGTTTTCAATGTTTATAAGCACCAACAAAATTTTCAAATTACAAATATTAAATTGATAAATTATGTGGAACTAAATTATTTTATATATAAAAATTCAATTATTTTTTTTAAAGCAATTTTGTCATTCTCACCACTTGATTTTCTCAAAACTTTGCTCTTCAGCTTTTCTGGTTTTCCTAACAATGACTGAATTAAGTTGCTTTTAGGTTTGATAAATGTCTTCGATCACCATCATCTAGATGTTGAACGCCGGTTAAAATGGAAATGCACGAGATGTGTTTGCATAAAAAGATGTATCCATAACCAAGACTAATCTACATCGATCCTTTTTTTTTTTTTTTTTTATAAAAGTCGATCAATAAATAAAAGAGAAAAGAGCCAACAAGAAAGTGTCTATAATAATAATTGATAATATAAATAAGAAGACAAATTAAACAATAACATTTCTACATCGATCCTATTATTGCTTTCTTGTTCTCAAAGTTTACAAGCAAATCCTTTTATTGGCGTTTCATGTTTTCCTTCATAGACATGGAAAATCTAGTTTCGAAGCAACCTATTTCTTTCGATCGCAACCAAAAAAGGTGTAAGTTGATATAATATGTTTCAAAATTTTAAATAATTTAGGTGTAAATAAAAATTAATTAACATTACTTATGAGAATTTGTTTAATTAAATTGTGTTACATAATATTTAATAAAATCTTTATATTCTAAAATTAAGTCTAAATATATCCTATAAATGTATTTGATTTTAATCAATAAAAAACATGTGATTAATTATTTATTTTTAAAAAAAGTTAAATTAGAAGAGGGTGCTAAATCAATTTATATTAAAAGATTGTTTAGTTTTATTTAATGATTCTATTAAAAAAAGCTTTAACTATTGACAAAAAAGAAAAAAAGAAAAAAGCACAGCCCAATTAAAAAAAACACACACACATAAACTTTGTTGTAATACAAATTAAATATAGGGTCTGTTTTGTACATATCACTATAAAAGCATAGGGGGAGAGGGGGGGGGGGGGGTTTTGTTATGGGGGCGCGGCTGGGGGAGAAGGCCCTTTGGGATAGACCTAAGACAACCAAGTCCACACGTCTGAGTTGAAAGTGCATCCCAGACATTCTAAAAGAACACAAAGTCCACAATTGACATTAAGTCTTTCGTGATTGTATATAGTCACAAGTCAATTTGCTATTGGTTTCCTGATGGCTTGTTGAAAGTGCAACCCAGTCATTTACTGTGCTTTTTTTTAATTCCTAGGAGAAAGTCAAATTACTTTTCTTTTCAAGCAACTAGTTGGATTTGTGAATGATAATACCTGTAAAAAATGACTGCCACTATGAAGAATCAGAATAACTTGAATTCTGTAATCAATTAATGAATAAGTAAATACCAATGAGCTTTCATCTCATGATGAAACTGAATCTATGTCCTTCTCCTTCCAAGAAACCCGGTTCAATGACAAAAGGTTGCATTTCTTGCTAACAAGAAGCCCACAATGGCATGCCCTTGCTATATAATTTTCTAATAATGCAAGCAATGTTTTAGCCTTGAGGTGCCTGAGTTTTGGTCCTTGTTAAGTTTAAACTAAGCAGAGCATAATAGTTTGAGTCCAATCAATGAATTAAGTAGAAAGCAAACCTAAACCATACGTTTTAAAAACATGTTGTTATACAATAAATAAATAAAATTCATTAGAACAATAAATTAAAAATAAGTTGGCTTTTCAATATTTCAAGATTAAGTTTATGGGTATTATATATAATTCAAATAAATTATTTATGTAATTAAATTACTCTATGATTGTTCTCCTTTTCTTAATCTAGTTTTTGAGATCTTTAGTCCCTAACTAAAGTATCCTCTTAAATGATTTTTTTTTAGACTTAGTTTCTTCTCCAATTTTTTTTGACTTTATCTAAAGATTTAAGTAGGTAATAAGCTCTTTAATAATTCATTAGTGCTAAGCAAGTGGTATTTTTTTTTTTTTTTTTGACCTTTTTGGAAATCCAGAGCAATGAAAGCCGACTTTAAGCATGGTTTTTATGTGCAAGAGTTCAAACAAACAAACATTTTGTTTTTTTTTTTTTGGTGTTTGTCTTGGAAATCGGCCACTAAGTATTTAATAAAATATTTTCTTAATCTCTTCAATCTTTTGCTGGTACTCGAATAGGATCTGAACCCCGGCCACCACTACCATCATCAACCCCAATACCTCAAAATCCTCCACCACCTTTAATTCTCTGACAAATGAAACCATTCTTCACCAAAAAGAAGCTCAAACTTGAAACCAGAAACCAAAACAAAGAAGAGGAAAAAAAAAAAAATCCAAATTGACATTTTCAAGTTGATAAATGACACTAGCGGCTTAATAATTAACGAACTCACACCCCATTATGGGGACTCTCCTTTTTCCAATGGTAGAGACGTATTTCTTTGCATTTTCATACATGTTTTTCCCGTCAGCTATTGTTTACATTGGGAGTAGACAGGGAGACTAAAAGAGGGTCGTGTTATGGCAATGTTGGCAGGCCGCAGATGTTGGTTTTGGTTTTGCCCTGAATCCTCAAATTTTTTTCAATTATGAAGGAAAATGACCAAAAACAGAAACATAACAGGAATTGATTTTTCACCGCAAATTAACGGAGAGAGCAAAACAGAGGCTATCACTTTACTTAATAAAGACGATTGCCAAATTGCTACAAAAATAGGGACCATTTTCTTAAGAGTATGTTGATTGGAATATTAATATAATGTCCATACGGTACTTTTTTAAGCCTGAGGCAGAGCCCAGAGCGTAGCCCACAAGTTGGGCTTTGTTTTTAGCCTGACCCCATCGTACACAGGCTTTGCCTTTACATTTCCTTTTTCTTTTTTGCCTGTAAGTTTAATAACAACAACAATAATACATATGATAGTAGTAATTGATGAAATTTGTAAAACAATAACATAATTGAATAATTGAACAGATTTAACTTCAGAGATTGGAAGATTCGTCTGTTGGTTAGGAGGTTTGATCATTCTTTAACTTCTTAGCCTCAAACCTTGGGAAAGCATTCAAGAGAATTTAATAAATCCTGAATATACCAAATCGATTTTTAAAATTAATTTTAATTGATGTGTAAGTTAGTCTGAAAATAATTTAACGTTAAATTTTTTTTTAATCTTAATTGATGTGTAAGTTAATTTGAGAATACTTTAACATCGAATAAAAATAAAATAAAATAGATTGGTAGCTAAAATAATGATTTTCACCTTTTTCTAATTCTTCTAACATCAGAAATAACTTCAATGAAATTTTATATATATATATTTTTTTATAATCTTGCAAGTAGCTGGTTTGAACCCCAATTACTTTTAATGTACACGATTCAAACGTGTTTTTTCTTTCTTTTTCGCTTCTTGATGCGAATTTCATCTAATCCTCTCCAAGTCTCTTGAAAGCCTGAAATTAGCTATCCTTGAGTGTTTCCTTGAATTCTCTGTGGCTCGAACACAGCCTCTTGGTGAGTGAATGTTTTTAGTTTTTATTTTTACATGAATTTGGTTCTTTGTGAGACAACAACATATCTTCCAGCTGGTGACTTTTATTCTTTTTTTCAATATGAATTTGATTAATCTTTCCAACGAACGAACAAATTTGATGGGTTTATTTTTCTTTTATAATGGACCGTTTAAATAGGTTGTCATTAACTTAGTAAGTGCTATCAGAAATATAATCTATCATGCAAATGGATTTTTATTAGATTTAAATCTCTGAATTTATTTTCATTGTAAATCCTCTTAATTTAATGAGGCACAAAACTCGCAATTTTTGTGCTTAATACATGTTTGAGGATTGAAGTCTATATAAGGTAAATCATCATACCGGGTACGTTCTAACTAATATTTATGCATGACTGAAGACCGGTGGAGATGATTCAATGGACAAGAAAGAAGCTGCTAAATAAAAAGGCAAGTAATACAGAGTTAACTCGAGGTGAACTGCTGCTGCAGGTAACTTTGAAAGATGCAGAAATACAACGCCTTAAGGAACAGATCCCGCAAGGAATAAACAACCTTATGGACCAGGTAACTGTAAGAGATGAGGAAATACTAAGCCTTAAAAACCTGCTTATTAAGAGAGATGAGGAAATTCAGAAGCATGAGCATGAACTAGCTTTGAAAGATAAGGAAATACTAAGCCTTGAAAACCGGCTCAATGAGCGACATGAGGAAATTGGGTACCTTGAGTATGACCTAGCTGTGAAAGATGAGAAAACGCAACAGCTTCATCACCAGCTCATATTAAAAGATGACGAAATTCAGAGACTTAGGATGGTCATTGATTCTGCAATTTTTGATTTAAGCAAAGCTCATATCGTTACTGATTACCAACCTAATACTATACCTGCGAACAAAAAGGTAGTTGAAAAAGTGGTAGGAGAAGAGGACATAATCGGGGCACACATGTCGAATACTGATGCTTCGCTACGTTCCTATCCCGAGTAATTAACTCGTGTTATGGCAACGTAACTTGCTACTAAGGATTTCTTTTACCGATTCATCTACGGTGATCTATACATGTCAACTTTTGTCTTTTGGCTATATAAATCGATTTGTAATGCCTTATTTTGGGCAAAAAATTTTGTCCATCATTTTTTACTTTAGAGTTACAGGTACAAAAAAAGAAAAAAAAGCAATTGATTTGATAATTTTGATGTGGATTTTTAAAAATTGTGTTGAGGGTATTTTTTAATTGTTTAAAAGAATGGGTGATACATCTATCAAGATACAGATAGTTAATATTATAAGTTGTAAAAATAATGACTAATCAATCAAGAAAAATTAATATAAATAGTGAACGACACGAAGGGAAGAGCAAGCGAGTTTAATAAGAAACAAGTTGAGTGACAGATAGACAATAAATCAAAATCCAAATAGAGTTTTATATGTTATTTAGTGTGTGTAGAAGAAATTTAAGAGAAAGAGTTCAAAAGTTTGTAAATGTTATAATAGGATTGGATCAATTGATCTTAGTTCATCTAGTTTTTTTTTTCGATACTAAACTGGTTCTCCAACCTAATATGCATTCAGAATAATTTAATAAAATCCTTTTGAATATTGATTTTAAAATTTGAATCCAATAAAAAAAAAAAACAAACTTCTTATCTAATAAGTAACCCACTTGAAATTAATCAATTCACATATTGATTATATAAAATTAATGTACTAGTGGATCCAATAACTTGGTGATCATCTATGTATTTTTTAAAAACTCAACTATTGCGCAATTTATAATATAGTAATGTTTTATAGAATGAATAAAAAATATTATACATCATGACTTTGTTCTATACATTATATTAAAAAAAAAAAAAGAACTGAAATATGCTATTATTATTCTATATCATGTCTAACTATCAACTGCTCACGTGGTTTCCTGACTATGACCGATTTGTTTTCTTCTTCTTCTTGCTATTTTTTTCCCTGCTTACCTCACCCTACATGATAACCTTCCTTTCTTTCCATCTCCTCACAAGTTGAAACTAAAGTGCTTCTTTTGTAAGGACTTCTAAGAAAGAGGTAAAGTCTATTAGTAAATATCTACTCATATTTATTTAAAAAGATTTTTAACTTTAAATTTTCAGAAGATAAATGAGAAAATTCAGAAGCATAAGAAGACCATTGAGTCTATCTATATTGATTTAAAAGCTTCTAAAAATATAAGAGACAACAATCAGCAACAATTGAGGCTTGATGGTACCATTGAGTCTATGCTTATTAATTTAGAAAAAGCATTTTTGACTGCTGAAAATGCTATGCCACTTCAATGCAATTTGCCCCATGGACTTTGTTAGCATCCAAAATTTTCTCAAAAAATTCAAAAAAATAAAAAAAAGACAAAAGGGATTAAAAAAAAAAATACAATTGGGAATGTGATTAAAAAAGGAAAGGAAAAAAGATCAAAATAAAGTGGGTTTGCGAGATGAGGGGTCAAACCAAATTTTAACAAAAAAAAAAAAAAAAACCCTACAAAACTCAGTATAAAAGCCCTTTTTTCTCTGAAAAATGGGAGCCACTTTCTCTCTTCACAAAACTAGCCAGTTGTCTCTCACAAAAATGAAATCTGATTAGTCCTTCTCTCTAGAAAACTGAACTAGCCTTCTCAAAAACTTCGATAAGCCCTTTAACGGAGTCTCTGATCGATCTAGCCTTCTCCTTAGCCCGGTCTAGCTCAATCCATGCTCCACCAGTGACTACCTCGATGGCCAACAGTCTTTCCTCTCCCATTCGACATAGATCTGATCGATCCAGCCTTCTCACCAGCCCAACTTGGTCCGATTCAGACGCAGTCTTCCTCCACCAACATCCAGCAGCCTCCACTAACAATCCTTCCTCCATCAAGCTCCACCGATCAGCAATAGTCCTATTCGACCCACCCAGCAGCTCAAGCTAACCCCGTCAGCCTCTCGCTAGTCTGATCCAATCAGTCCAGCTCTGATCAACTTCTTCAATCGATTCAACAATTGTCCACCCGATCTAAAGTAAATCAGCCAGAACTGGTTTTGGCTAGACCCAACAACTAGCCATCAACCCCATCTAGCCCCACGTCGTTTGGTCGACTTCATCTAGCAGCCTCACCACATTGTTCGATCAGATCTGATCAACAGCAGTCGTCTTTCCTCCCCAGTTAACTGAATATTAGTCTCCATCAGGGTTGAAAAGAGTCAGGACTAATCTCAATTCAACAGTCTAATCCGCTTGCCTTTTTACAGTAATTTATTTTATTTTTCTTTTTATTTTATTTTATTTTATTTTAATATCTATTAAATTTAATTTAAGTTGATGTTTACTTGTAATTAATCACATTGTTGTGTGATGTAATTAATTTAAATTGATGCTTATTTATGATTTAATTGAACTGTTGTGATGAGTATAGTTTAATTAAACTGTTGTTGCGCTTGTATTAGTTTGGTTGATGTTTAGGCTTAAATGTGGTTGAATGTTCATTGTTATTTATATGATTTTTTTAGATGTGTTTTTCCGAATCTTTATTTTGGACCACTTTCGATCAATCGTAATAATTAACTAAATTGTGCTAATTTATCTTAAAATATTTGATTTTTGCTTCACGTTCGTTTAAACCAATCTTTTGGACCATTTTTGTGATGTTAATTTTAAATTGCTCACGTGATAATTTTATCCAAAAATGCAATTATGGATCATGCCGGTTTGAAACTCATCATTTGGGTCATTTTTGTCCAATAATATCTAATTTTGACGTTGTTGTCAATTCGCCTAAAAATGTGACTTTTGAGTCGCTTTAGTTCAAATCTCATTTTAGATCATTTTTGCCCATTGTAACTAGTAATTAATATTGTGTCAATTTTTTTTGCCTAAAAAATATGATTCTTGAGTTATGTTGATTCAAATCTCGTTTTTGGATTGTTGTTGCGGTTTGTGATGACTAATTTGATATAGCGTCAATTTTGTCTAAAAAATGCGATGTTTGAGTTATGTCGATTAGAGTCCTGTTTTTGGTTCGTTTTTGTCAATTTCAACAATTTTATTGATTTTTTCTAATTGCCTATTTGTCAATTTTACCAATTTGCTCATCTTGCCAATTTGCATATTTTGCCTAATTGCCTATTTTGCTAATTTGTCTATTTTTTCTAATTATCGATGTTGCCAATTTCTCGATTTTTGCCAATTTGTCCATTTTGCCAATTTTGCCTAATTGTCAATTTTGTCAATTTATCGATTTTTGCCAATTTGTTCATTTTGCCCACTTTGTCTAATTGCTTATTTGTTGATTTTACCAATTTGCCTATCTTGCCAATTTACCAATTTGTCATTTTACCAATTTGCATATTTTATCTAATTACCTATTTGTCGATTTGTCAATTTGTCGATTTTGCTTATTTTTGTCAAATTGCTTATTTGCTAATTTTGTCGTTATTTGTTTATTTATGCCTATTTGCTAATTTTGTCAATTAACTTAATTTGTTTGTTTGTTTATTTGTAAGCTTTATTTTCATGCACGTCACTTAAGTTGCATTAGCCACATATCCTTATATTTATCATGTTTTTTATTTTTTAGCTATTCATTACGGAGTATCGACAAGGTCTCCGACCGACCAAGTTTCAAATCACTTGACTAGTGGGCAAATACTTAAAAAACTAGGTATAGTTTTTAATGATAAAAAAAATTAGAAATCAAGTCGGTTTTGTATGTAATGTAGCTTGCCTTAGGCGGGATGAGGTAATGTGATTTTTAATCTTCCTTACATGTAATAACTTTCTTTATCCGAAATCCGAATAGACTAGTCATAGGGTTTCCTGGTGATTATAATACTAGGTGGTGACTTCTAATTATTTTTGCCCATTTTCTTTATTTTTGCCTCAACTCATTGCCCTTGCCTCCGAATTCACCTTGCGACGGAATGACGACTCTACCGGGGACCATACCTAGGGTTAGGCTTTGCATGTAATTCTTGAATTTAATTTACGATGATATGATGAATTTTTATGCCTATAGGTTGATTTATGTAATTTGCCAATCTTTTTTAAATTCATGTCTTTTTTCCATTGTTTGCATTGTATTTTTATTTTTTATTTTTTTTATTTTATTTAATTTTATGTCTTTATTTTTATTTTTTGTTTGTGAGACTCGGATATGGAATAATGTCTATGCACACACTATACTCACCATTACTTTTTATGTTTATCACACATTTGCCTCGGGACTTAGGGAGGTAGTAGAGGTGTCTTGGTGGGTTTTGCCCCGAGTAACACTCATAAAATCTTAACTCTTCTTGCTAGTCACTATCGAACGATGGGTAACCGATGATTTTTTATACTTACCAATCATCACCTTTAGTAACCCTAACGATTCTATTATGATTCGTCGAGCTTGATCGGACTTAGATAAATCCTTGATAAGTTCACTAGGAAAGTCGGATGTATTAAAACCTTAATCGAGCGAGTTTGGTCATGATATTTTAGGATGAGTGATAAGAGGATTTAAGTCTAGGTCCGAATACAAAAGAGATTTCGAAGCTCGGTTATAATATTTCAAAGGTTACCGATAAAACCTAATTTCATCTTTAAACCAATTTGGGATAATGTTAAACAATCAATGATTGGATCCTCTTATCATCCTCACATGAAGATTATTTCATATTTAGTCCCGAGTGTCATTTTATTTTTAATACATTGTCTACATCTTGTATTTGTTATCTTTTGTCTAAGTAGACATATAGGTCGATCCGGCAAAACTACACTTCCTTTGAGCATTCACCACACTAGAGGAAGAAAAAAGATGAAAAACAAAGAAAGGACTCTACTTGATTAAAATCACTAAAAGGAGGTAAAGGCATTAAAGAAAGAGGTTGTTAGGCTTACTACTTTATTGGAACAAAGTCAACAAAATTGCTTGTCTTTAGAAATTATCATTCAAAGAGAAGTCAATCGGTCATCGGTTTTCTTGGAAGTGTTCACCACTATGT